CTCCTGGACTAGGCAAGCTCCTGGACCAGGCAAGCTCCTGGACCAGGCACGCTCCTGGACCAGGCAAGCTCCTAGACCAGGCAAACTCCTGGACCAGACAAGCTCCTGGACCAGGCAAACTCGTGAACCAGGCAAGCTCCTGGACCATGCAAGCTCCTGGACTAGGTAAGCTCTTGGACCAGGCACGCTCCTGGACCAGGCAAGCTCCTGGACCATGCAAGCTCCTGTACTAGGCAAGCTCGTGGACCAGGCACGCTCCTGGACCAGGCGAGCTCCTAGATTAGGCAAGCTACTGGACTAAGCAAGCTCCTGGACCTGGCAAGCTCCTGGACCAGGCAAACTCGTGCACCAAGCAAGCTCGTGGACCAGACAAGCACCTGGACTAGGCAAGCTCCTGGACCAGGCAAACTCCTGGACTAGGCAAGCTCCTCTACCAGGCAAGTTCGCGGATCACGCACGCTCTTGGACCAGGCAACCTCCTGGACCAGGCAAGCTCCTGGACCAGGCAAGCTCCAGGACCAGGCAAGCTCGTAGACCAGGCAAGCTCTTGGACAAGGCAAGCTCGTGGACCAGGCAAGCTCCTGGACCAGTCAAGCTCCTGGACCAGGCAGGCTCGTGGACCAGGCAAGCTCCTGGACCACGCACCCTCGTGGACCAGGCACGATTCTGGACCAGGCAAGCTCCTTGACCAGGCAAGCTCCTGGACCACGCAGGCTCTTGGACCTGGCAAGCTCCTAGACCACGCAAGCTCTTGGACAAGGCACGCTCCTGCAGAAGGCAAGCTCTTGGACCAGGCAGGCTTCTCGACCAAGCAAGCTCCTGGACCAGGCAAGCTCCTGGACCAGGAAAGCTCCTGGACCAGGCAAGCTCCTTGACTGGGCAAGCTCTTGGATCATTCATGCTCCTGGACCAAGCAAGCTCTTGGACGAGGCAAGCTGTTAGACCAGGCAAGCTCCTAGACCAGGCAGGCTCCTAGACTACGCAAGCTCCTGGACCACGCAAGCTCCTGGACCAAGCAAGCTCCTGGACCAGGCAAACTCGTGGACCAGGCAAGCTCCTGGACCAGGCAAGTTCCTGGACCAGGCAAGCTCCTAGACCAGGCAAGCTCCTGGACCAGGCAAGCTCTTGGACCAGGCAAATTCGTGGACCAGGCAAGCTCCTGAACCACGCAAACACGTGGACCAGGCACGCTCCTGGACCAGGCAAGCTCCTGGACCAGGCAAGATCCAAGACCAAGCAAGCTCCTGGACCACGCAAGCTCCTGGACCGGGCAATCTTGTGGACCAGGCACGCTCCTGGACCAAGCAAGCTCCTGGACCAGGCAAGCTCCTGGACCAGGCAAGCTCTTGGACTAGGCACGCTCCTGGACCAAGCAAGCACTTGGACCAGGCAAGTTGTTGGACCAGGCAAGCTCCTAGATTTGGCAAGCTCCTTGACTAGGCAAGCTTGTGGACCAAGCACGCTCCAGGACCTGGCAAGCTCCTGGACCAGGCAAGCTCCAAGACAAGGCAGGCTCCTGGACCAGGCAAGCTCCTAGACCAGGCAAGCTCCTGGACCAGGGAAGCTCCCGGACCAGGCAAGCTCCTGGACCAGGCAAGATCCTGGACCAGGCAAGCTCTTGGACCAGGCAAGCTCTTCGACCAGGCAAGCTCGTGGACCAGGCATGCTCCTGGACTAGATAAGATCCTAGACCAGGCAAGCTCTTGGACTAGGCAAGTCCTGGATCAGGCAAGCTCCTGGACCAGGCACGCTCCTGGTTCTGGCAAGCTGTTAGACCAGGCAAGCTCCTAGACCAGGCAAGCTCCTGGACCAAGCACGCTCCTGGACGAGGCAAGCTCCTGGACCAGGCAAGCTCTTGGACCAGGCAAGCTCGTGGACCAGGCATGCTCCTGGACCAGGCAAGATCCTAGTCCAGGTAAGCTCTTGGACCAGGCAAGCTCCTGGATCAGGCTAGCTCCTGGACCAGGCACGCTCCTGGACCAGGCAAGCTGTTAGACCAGGCAAGCTCCTGGACCAGGCACGCTCCTGGACCAGGCACACTCCTGGACCAGGCACGCTCCTGGACCAGGCATGCTCCTGGACCAGGCACGCTCCTGGACCAGGCAAGCTCCTGGACCAGGCAATGTCCTGCACCAGGCAAGCTCCTGGACCAGGCAAGCTCTAGGACCAGGCAGGCTCCTGGACCAGGCAAGCTCCTGGACCAGGCATGCTCCTGAACCAGGCAAGCTCCTGGACTAGGCAAGCTCCTAGACCAGGCAAGCTACTAGATCAGGCAAGCTCCTGGACTAGGCACGCTCCTGGACCAGGCAAGCTGTTAGACCAGGCAAGCTCCTGGACCAGGCGCGCTCCTGGACCAGGCACGCTCCTGGACCAGGCACGCTCCTGGACCAGGCACGCTCCTGGACCAGGCACGCTCCTGGACCAGGCACGCTCCTGGACCAGGCAAGCTCCTGGACCAGGCAAGCTCCTGGACCAGGCAAGCTCCTGGACTAGGCAAGCTCCTTGACTAGGCAAGCTCCTGGACTAGGCAAGCTCCTGGACCAGGCAAGCTCTTGGACAAGGCACGCTCCTTAACCAGGCAAGCTCTTGGACCAGGCAGGCTTCTGGACCAAGCAAGCTCCTGGACCAGGCAAGCTCTTGGACCAGGCAAGCTCCTGAACCAGCCAAGCTCCTGGACTAGGCAAGCTCTTGGACCAGGCAAGCTCCTGGATCAGGCAAGCTCCTAGACCAGGCACGCTCCTGGACCAGGCAATCTGTTAGACCAGGCAAGCTCCTTGACCAGGCACGCTCCTGTACCAGGCACGCTCCTGGACCATGCACGCTCGAGGACCAGGCACGCTCCTGGACCAGGCAAGCTCCTGGACCAGGCAAGCTCCTGGACTAGGCAAGCTCCTGCACCAGGCAAGCTCCTGGACCAGGCAAGCTCCTGGACTAGGCAAGCTCCTGGACCAGGCAAGCTCCTGGACTAGGCAAGCTCCTGGACCAGGCAAGCTCTTGGACAAGGCACGCTTCTTAACCAGGCAAGCTCTTGGACCAGGCAGGCTTCTGGACCAAGCAAGCTCCTGGACAAGACACGTTCCTGGAACAGGCAAGCTCGTTGACCAGGCAAGCTCCTAAACCAGGCAAGCTCGTGGACAAGGCAAGCTCCTCGATCAGGCAAGCTCCTAGACCAGGCACGCTGCTGGACCAGAAAAGCTCCTAGACTAGGCAAGCTCCTGGACCAGGCACGCTCCTCGACCAGGCAAGCTCCTAGACCAGGCAAGCTCCTGGACCAGGCAAGCTCTTGGACCAGGCAAGCTCCTGGACCACGCAAGCTCTAGGACCAGGCAAGCTCTTGGACCAGGCAAGATCCTGGACCAGGCAAGCTCTTGGACCAGGCAAGCTCCTGGACCAGGCAAGAACATAGACAAGGCAAGCTCCTTGAACAGGCAAGCTCCTAGACCAAGCACGCTCCTGGACCAGGCAAGCTCCTGCATCAAGCAAGCTCCTGGACCAGGCACGCTCGTGGACCAGGCAAGCTGCTGGACAAGGCAAGCTACTGGACCACGCAATCTCTTGGACCAGGCATGCTCTTGGACCAGGCAAGCTCTTGGCCGAGGAACGCTTCTGGACCAAGCAAGCTCCTGGACCAGGCAAGCTCCTGGACCAGCAAGCTCGTAGACCAGGCAAGCTCCTGGACAAGGCAAGCTCCTGGACCACGCAAGCTCCTGGACTAGGCAAGCTCTTGGTCCAGGCAAGCTCCTGGACAAGGCAAGCTCCTGGACCAGGCAAGCTCCTCGACCAGGCACACTCCTCGACAGGCACGCTCTTCGACCAGGCAAGCTCTTCGACTAGGCAATCTCCTGGACCAAGCAAGCTCTTGGACCAGGCGACTTCTGGACCAAGCAAGCTCCACAACCAGGCACACTCCTGGACCAGGCACGCTCCTCGATAAGGCAAGCTCCTGGAAAAGACAAGCTCCTGGACCAGGCAAGCTCCTAGACCAGGCACACTCCTGGACCAGGCACGCTCATGGACTAGGCAAGCTCCTAGACCAGGCAAGCTCTTGGACAAGGCAAGCTCGTGGACCACTCACGCTCCTGGACCACACAAGCTCCTAGACCAGGCAAGCTCCTGGACGAGGCAAGCTCCTGGACTAGGCAAACTCGTGGACCAGGCACGCTCCTGGACCAAGCAAGATCCTGGACAAGGCAAGCTCATGGACGAAGCAAGCTCCTGGATCACGCAAGCTCCTGGACCAAGCACGCTCCTGGACCAGGCAAGCTCCTAGACCAGGCAAGGTCGTGGGCCAGGCAAGCTCCTGGACCAGGCAAGCTTGTGGACTAGGCAAGCTCTTGGACCAGGCAAGCTCTTGGACTAGGCAAGCTCTTGGACCAGGCAAGCTCGTGGACCAGGCAAGCTCCTTGACCAGGCACGCTCCTAGACGAGGCAAGCTCATGGACTAGGCACGCTCCTAGACAAGACACATTCCAAGACCAGGCACGCTCCAGGACCAGGCCAGCTCCTGGACTAGGCAAGCTACTTGATGAGGCAAGCTCCTGGACCAGGCAAGCTCTTGGTCCCGGCATGCACCTGGACCTGACAAGCTCTTGCACCTAGCAAGCTCTTGGACCAGTGAAGCTCCAGGACCAGGCAAGCTCTTGGACCAGGCAAGCTCCTGGACCAGGGAAGCTCCTCGACCAAGGACGCTCCTGGACCAGACAAGCTCTAGGACGAGGCTAGCTCGTGGACCAGGCAAGCACCTAGACCAGGCACGATCGTGGACCAGGCAAGCTCCTGGACCAGGCACGCTCCTGGACCAGGCGCATTTTAGCTTCAGGCACGCTTTTGGACCAGGCCAGCTCCTGGTCCAGGCAAGCTCCTTGACGAGGCAACCTCCTCGACCAGGCAAGCTCTTAGACTAGGCATGCTCCTGGACTAGGCAAGCTTGGACCGAGCAAGCTCTTGGACCAAGCAAGCTCCTGGACCAGGCAAGCTCTTGGACAAGGCAAGCTTTTGGATCAGGCAAGCTCCTTGTCCAAGCAAGCTCCTAGATCAGGCACGCTCCTGGACCAGGAAAGCTCTTGGACCAGGCAAGCTCCTTGATAAGGCAAGCTCTTCGACGAGGCAAGCTCATGGACCAGGTAAGCTCCTCGACCACGCAAGCTCTTGGACGAGGCAAGCTCCTGGACCAGGCAAGCTCCTAGACAAGGCAAGCTCCTGGACCAGGCAAGCTTCTGGACCAAGCAAGCTCCTGGACCAGGCAAGCTCCTGGATCACGCAAGCCCATGGACCAGGCACGCTCCTCGACCACGCAAGCTCCACGTCGATGTCCACGTCCACGTCCACGTCCACATCCATGTCCACGTCCACGTCCACTTCCACGTCCACGTCCACATCCACGTCCATGTCCACGTCCACGTCCACGTCCACGACCATGTCCACGTCCACGTCCACGTCCACGTGCACGTCCATGTCAACGTCCAAGTCCTCCACGTCCACGACCACGTCCACGTCCACGTCCACGTCAACGTCCACGTCCACGACCACGTCTACGTCCACGTCCACGTCCACGTCCTCCACGTCCACGTCCTCCACGTCCACGTCCTCCACGTCCTCCACGTCCACGTCCTCCACGTCCACGTCCATATCCACGTCCATGACCACGTCCACGTCCACGTCGACGACCACGACCACATCTATGTCCACGTCCACATCTATGTCCACGTCCACGTCCACGTCTATGTCCACGTCCACGTCCACGTCCATGACCACGTCCATGTCCACGTCAACGTCCATGTCCACGTCCACGTCCACGTCCACGACCATGTCCATGTCCACGTCCATGTCCACGTCCATGTCCATGTCCACGACCATGTCCATGTCCACGACCATGTCCATGTCTACGTCCACGTCCACGACCATGTCCATGTCCACGACCATGTCCATGTCCACGTCCATGTCCATGTCCACGACCATGTCCATGTCTACGTCCACGTCCACGACCATGTCCATGTCCACGACCATGTCCATGTCCACGTCCATGTCAACGTCCACGTCCATGTCCACGTCCACGTCCACGTCCATGTCCACGTCCACGTCCACGTCCACGTCCACGTCCACGTCCACGTCCAGGACCACGTCCACGTCCACCTCCACGTCCACGTCCACGTCCATGTCCACGTCCACGTCCACGTCCACGACCATGTCCACGTCCACGTCCACGTCCACGTCCATGTCCACGTCCACGTCCACGTTCACGTGTACGTCCATGTCCACGTCCACGTCCACGTCCTTGTCCTCCTCCTCGTCCACGTCCACGTCCACGTCCACGTCAACGTCCACGTCCACGTCCATGTCCTCCACGTCCACGTCCACGTCCACGTCCACGTCTACGTGCACGTCAACGTCCAGGTCCAGGTCCAGGTCCACGTCCACGTCCACGTCCACGTCCACGTCCAGGTCCACGTCCATGTCCACGTCCACGTCCACGTCCACGTCCACGTCCACGTCCATGTCCACGTCCACGTCCACGTCAACGTCCACGTCCACGTCCACGTCCATGTCCTCCACGTCCACGTCCACGTCCACGTGCACGTCAACGTCCAGGTCTAGGTCCACGTCCACGTCCACGTCCACGTCCACGTCCACGTCCACGTCCACGTCCTCGTCCACGTCCTCGTCCACGTCCAAGTCCACGTCCACGTCCACGTCCTCGTCCTCGTCCACGTCCACGTCCACGTTTATGTCCATGTCCTCCACGTCCACGTCCACGTCCAGGTCCACGTCCACGTGCACGTCAACGTCCAGGTCCACGTCCACGTCCACGTCCACGTCCACCTCCACGTGCACGTCCACGTCCAGTCCACGTCCACGTCAATGTCCATGTCCACGTCCACGTCCACGTCCATGTCCACGTCCACGTCCATTTCTACGTCCACGTCCACGTCCACGTCCACGTCCATGTCCTCCACGTCCACGTCCACGTCCTCGTCCAGATCCACGTCAACATCCAGGTCCACGTCCAAGTCGACGTCCACGTCCATGTCCACGTCCGCGTCAACGTCCACGTCCACGTCCACGTCCATTTCTACGTCCACGTCCACGTCCACGTCCACGTCCATGTCCTCCACGTCCACCTCCACGTCCAGGTCCACGTGCCATCGACGTCCAGGTCCACGTCCACGTCCACGTCCACGTCCACGTCCACGTCCACGTCCATGTCCACGTCCACGTCCACGTCCTCCACGTCCACGTCCACGTCCACGCGCACGTCAACGTCCAGGTCCACGTCCACGTCAACGTCCAGGTCCACATCCACGTCCACGTCCACGTCCACGTCCACGTCCTCCTCCTCGTCCACGTCCACGTCCACGTCCACGTCCACGTCCACGTCCACCTCCACGTCCACGTCCACGTCCACGTCCACGTCTAGTCCACGTCCACGTCCACGTCCACGTCCACGTCCACGTCCATTTCCACGTCCACGTCCACGTCCACGTCCACGTCCACGTCCACGTCCATGTCCTCCACGTCCACGTCCACGTCCATGTCCTCCACGTCCACGTCCACGTCCACGTCCACGTCAACGTCCAGGTCCACGTCCACGTCCACGTCCACGTCCACGACCACGTCCACGACCACGTCCACGTCCACGTCCACGTCCACGTCCACGTCCATCCACGTCCACGTCCACGTCCTCGTCCTCATCCACGTCCACGTCCATGTCCACGTCTTCGTCCACGTCCACCTCCACGTCCACGTCCTCCACGTCCACGTCCACGTCCACGCGCACGTCAACGTCCAGGTCCACGTCCACGTCAACGTCCAGGTCCACGTCCACGTCCACCTCCATTTCTACGTCCACGTCCACGTCCACGTCCACGTCCACGTCAACGTCCATGTCCACGTCCATGTCTACGTCCACGTCCACGTCCATCTCCACGTCCACGTCCACGTCCACGTCCATTTCTACGTCCATGTCCACGTCCACGTCCACGTCCACGTCCATTTCTACGTCCATGTCCACGTCCACGTCCACGTCCATGTCCATGTCCATGTCCACGTCCATGTCGACGTCCACGTCCACGTCCATGTCCATGTGCATGTCCACGTCCACGTCCATGTCTACGTCCACGTCCACGTCCACGTCCACGTCCATGTCCACGTCCATGTCCACGTCCATGTCCACGTCCAGGTCCACGTCCAGGTCCACGTCCATGTCCACGTCCACTTCCACGTCCACGTCCACGTCCACGTCCACGTCTAGTTCCACGTCCAGGTCCAGGTCCAGGTCCACGTCCACGTCCACGTCCACTTCCACGTCCACGTCCACGTCCACGTCCACGTCCACGTCCTCCACGTCCTCGTCCACGTCCTCCACGTCCATGTCCACGTCCTCCACGTCCACGTCCTCCACGTCCACGTCCACAACCACGTCCACGTCCATGTCCACGACCACGACCACGTCCATGTCCACGTCCACGTCCATGACCACGTCCACGTCCACGTCCACGACCACGACCACGTCCAAGTTCACATCCACGTCCACGTCCACGTCCACGTCCATGAACACGTCCACGTCCACGTCCACGACCACGTCCACGTCCACGTCCACGTCCATGTCCACGTGCACGTGCACGTCCACCTCCATGTCCACGTCCATGTCTACGTCTACGTCCACGTCCACGTCCACGTCCACGTCCACGTCCATGTCCACGTCCACGTCCATGTCCACGTCCACGTCCACTTCTACGTCCACGTCCACGTCCACGTCCACGTCCACGTCCATTTCTACGTCCACGTCCACGTCCACGTCCACGTCCACGTCCATGTCCACGTCCACGTCCACGTCCACGTCCAAGTCCACGTCCAAGTCCACGTCCACGTCCATGTCCACGTACATGTCCACGTCCACGTCCACGTCCATGTCCACGTCCACGTCCACGTCTACGTCCACGTCTACGTCTACGTCCACGTCCACGTCCACATCCACGTCCACGTCCACGTCCACGTCCACGTCCACGTCCACGTCCATGTCCACGTCCTCGTCCACGTCCACGTCCACGTCCACGTCCACGTCCATGTCCACGTCCATGTCCACGTCCACGTCCACGTCCATGTCCACATCCACGTCCACATCCACGTCCACGTCCATGTCCACGTCCACGTCCATGTCCACGTCCACGTCCACGTCCACGTCCATGTCCACGTCCATGTCCACGTCCTTGTCCACGTCCACGTCCATGTCCAAGTCCACGTCCATGTCCACGTCCACGTTCACTTCTACGTCCACGTCCACGTCCACGTCCACGTCCACGTCCATTTCTACGTCCACGTCCACGTCCACGTCCACGTCCACGTCCATGTCCACGTCCACGTCCATGTCCACGTCCACGTCGACGTCCACGTCCAAGTCCACGTCCATGTCCACGTCCATGTCCACGTCCACGTCCACGTCTACGTCCACGTCTACGTCCACGTCCACATCCACGTCCACGTCCATGTCTACGTCCACGTCCACGTCCATGTCCATGTCCACGTCCACGTCCATGTCCACGTCCACGTCCACGTCTACGTCCACGTCCATGTCCACGTCCACGTCCACGTCTACGTCCACGTCCACGTCCACATCCACGTCCACGTCCACGTCCACGTCCATGTGCACGTCCTCGTCTACGTCCACGTCCACGTCCACGTCCACGTCCACGTCCACGTCCACGTCCACGTCCACGTCCATGTCCATGTCCATGTCCACGTCCACGTCCATGTCTACGTCCACGTCCACGTCCACGTCCACGTCCATGTCCACGTCCATGTCCACGTCCATGTCCACGTCCAGGTTCACGTCCAGGTCCACGTCCATGTCCACGTCCACTTCCACGTCGACGTCCACGTCCACGTCCACGTCCAGTTCCACGCCCAGGTCCACGTCCAGGTCCACGTCCACGTCCACGTCCACTTCCACGTCCACGTCCACGTCCACGTCCACGTCCTCCACGTCCTCGTCCACGTCCTCCACGTCCATGTCCTCCACGTCCACGTCCTCCACGTCCACGTCCACAACCACGTCCACGTCCATGTCCACGACCACGACCACGTCCATGTCCACGTCCACGTCCATGACCACGTCCACGTCCACGTCCACGACCACGACCACGTCCAAGTTCACGTCCACGTCCACGTCCACGTCCACGTCCATGACCACGTCCACGTCCACGTCCACGACCACGTCCACGTCCACGTCCACGTCCATGTCCACGTGCACGTGCACGTCCACCTCCATGTCCACGTCCATGTCTACGTCTACGTCCACGTCCACGTCCACGTCCATGTCCACGTCCACGTCCATGTCCACGTCCACGTCCACTTCTACGTCCACGTCCACGTCCACGTCCACGTCCACGTCCATTTCTACGTCCACGTCCACGTCCACGTCCACGTCCACGTCCACGTTCATGTCCATGTCCACGTCCATGTCCACGTCCACGTCCAAGTCCACGTCCAAGTCCACGTCCATGTCCACGTCCACGTCCACGTCTACGTCCACGTCTACGTCTACGTCCACGTCCACGTCCACGTCCACGTCCACATCCACGTCCACGTCCACGTCCACGTCCATGTCGACGTCCTCGTCTACGTCCACGTCCACGTCCACGTCCACATCCACGTCCATGTCCACGTCCTCGTCCACGTCCACGTCCACGTCCACGTCCACGTCCATGTCCATGTCCACGTCCATGTCCACGTCCACGTCCACGTCCATGTCCACGTCCACGTCCACGTCCATGTCCACGTCCACGTCCATGTCCACGTCCACGTCCACGTCCATGTCCACGTCCATGTCCACGTCCATGTCCACGTCCACGTCCATGTCCACGTCCACGTCCATGTCCACGTCCACGTCCACTTCTACGTCCACGTCCACGTCCACGTCCACGTCCACGTCCATTTCTACGTCCACGTCCACGTCCACGTCCATGTCCACGTCCACGTCCATGTCCACGTCCACGTCCATGTCCACGTCCAAGTCCACGTCCATGTCCACGTCCATGTCCACGTCCACGTCCACGTCTACGTCCACGTCCACATCCACGTCCACGTCCATGTCCACGTCCACGTCCACGTCTATGTCCACGTCCACGTCCACGTCCATTTCCACGTCCACGTCCACGTCCACGTCCACGTCCATGTCCACGTCCACGTCCATGTCCACGTCCACGTCCATGTCCACGTCCATGTCCACGTCCATGTCCACGTCCACGTCCACGTCCATGTCCACGTCCACGTCCACGTCCATTTCTACGTCCACGTCCATGTCCACGTCCACGTCTACGTCCATTTCTACGTCCACGTCCACGTCCACGTCCACGTTCACATCCACGTCCACGTCCACGTCCACGTCCATGTCCACGTCCACGTCCATTTCTACGTCCACGTCCACGTCCACGTCCACGTCTATGTCCACGTCCACGTCCACGTCCATGTCCACGTCTACGTCCACGTCCACGTCCACGTCCACGTCTACGTCCATGTCCACGTCCACGTCCATGTCCACGTCCACGTCCACTCCACGTCCACGTCCACGTCCATGTCCACGTCCATGTCCACGTCCACGTCCCCGTCCACGTCCACGTCAACGTCCATGTCCACGTCCACGTCCACGTCCACGTCCACGTCCACGTCCACGTCCATGTCCACGTCCACGTCCACGTCCACGTCCATGACCATGTCCACGTCCATGTCCACGTCCATGACCACGTCCACGTCCATGTCCACGTCCACGTCCACGTCCACGTCCACGTCCACGTCTACGTCCACGTCCACGTCCACGTCCACGTCCACGTCCACGTCGACGTCGACGTCCACGTCCATGTCCACGTCCACATCCACGTCCACGTCCATGTCCACGTCCACGTCCTCGTCCATGTCCACGTCCACGTCCACCTCCACGTCCACCTCCACGTCCACGTCCACGTCCACGTCCATGTCCACGTCCACATCCACGTCCTCGTCCATGTCCACGTCCATGTCCACGTCCATGTCCACGTCCACGTCCATGTCTACGTCCATGTCCACGTCCACGTCCATGTCCACGTCCACGTCCACGTCCACGTCCACGTCCATGTCCACGTCCACGTCCACGTCCACGTCCATGTCCACGTCCATGTCCATGTCCACGTCCACGTCCATGTCCACGTCCACGTCCATGTCCACGTCCATGTCCACGTCCATGTCCACGTCCACGTCCACGTCCATGTCCACGTCCACGTCCACGTCCACGTCCATGTCTACGTCCACGTCCACGTCTACGTCCATGTCCACGTCCACGTCCAAGTCCACGTCCACGTCCAAGTCCACGTCCATGTCCAAGTCCATGTCCACGTCCACGTCCACGTCCACGTCCACGTCCATGTCCACGTCCACGTCCATGTCCACGTCCACGTCCACGTCCACGTCCATGTCCACGTCCATGTCCACGTCCATGTCCACGTCCATGTCCACGTCCACGTCCACGTCCACGTCCACGTCCACGTCCACGTCCATGTCCACGTCCACGTCCACGTCCACGTCCACGTCCATGTCCACGTCCACGTCCACGTCCACGTCCACGTCCACGTCCACGTCCACGTCCACGTCCTCCTCCATGTCCATGTCCACGTCCATGTCCACGTCCACGTCCACGTCCACGTCCACGTCCACATCCATGTCCACGTCCACGTCCACGTCCACGTCCATGTCTACGTCCACGTCCACGTCTGCGTCCACGTTCACGTCCATGTCTGCGTCCACGTCCATGTCCACGTCCACGTCCACGTCCATTTCTACGTCCACGTCTACGTCCACGTCCATGTCCACGTCCATGTCCACGTCCACGTCCACGTCCATGTCTACGTCCACGTCCATGTCCACGTCCATGTCCATGTCCACGTCCATGTCCACGTCCACGTCCACGTCCATGTCCACGACCACGTACACGTCGACGTCCACGTCCACGTCCACGTCCATTTCCACGTCCACGTCTACGTCCACGTCCATGTCCACGTCCACGTCCACGTCCACGTCCATGTCCATGTCGATGTCCACGTCCATATCCACGTCCATGTCCCTGCCACGTCCACGTCCACGTCCATGTCCACGTCCACGTCCATGTCCACGTCCACGTCCATGTCCACGTCCACGTCCACGTCCATGTCCACGTCCACGTCCATGTCCACGTCCACGTCCACGTCCACGTCCACGTCCACGTCCACGTCTACGTCCACGTCCACGTCCACGTCCACGTCCACGTCCACGTCCACGTCCACGTCCACGTCCACGTCCACGTCCATGTCCATGTCCACGTCCACGTCCATGTCCACGTCCACGTCCACGTCCACGTCCACGTCCACGTCCACGTCCATGTCCACGTCCATGTCCACGTCCACGTCCACGTCCACGTCCACGTCCACGTCCATGTCCACGTCCACGTCCATGTCCACGTCCACGTCCATGTCCACGTCCACGTCCACGTCCATGTCCACGTCCACGTCCATGTCCACGTCCACGTCCACGTCCACGTCCACGTCCACGTCCACGTCCACGTCCACGTCCATGTCCACGTCCACGTCCACGTCCACGTCCACGTCCATGTCCACGTCCACGTCCACGTCCACGTCCACGTCCACGTCTTCGTCCACGTCCACGTCCACGTCCATGTCCACGTCCACGTCCACGTCCACGTCCACGTCCACGTCTACGTCCACGTCCACGTCCACGTCCATGTCCACGTCCACGTCCACGTCCATGTCCACGTCCACGTCCACGTCCATGTCCACGTCCACGTCCACGTCCATGTCCACGTCCACGTCTACGTCCACGTCCACCTCCACGTCCACGTCCACGTCCACGTCCACGTCCACCTCCACGTCCACGTCCACGTCCACGTCCACGTCCACCTCCACGTCCACGTCCACGTCCACGTCCACGTCCATGTTCACGTCCACGTCCACGTCCATGTTCACGTCCACGTCCACGTCCACGTCCACGTCCACGTCCATGTCCACGTCCACGTTCACGTCCATTTCTACGTCCACGTCCACGTCCATGTCCACGTCCACGTCCACGTCCATGTCCACGTCCACGTCCATATCCACTTCCACGTCCAAGTCCACGTCCATTTCTACGTCCACGTCCACGTCCATTTCTACGTCCACGTCCACGTCCATGTCCACGTCCATGTCCATGTCCACGTCCATGTCCACGTCCATGTCCACGTCTATGTCCACGTCCACGTCCACGTCCACGTCCATAACTACGTCTACGTCCACGTCCATGTCCATGTCCACGTCCATGTCCACGTCCATGTCCACGTCCATGTCCACGTCCATGTCCACGTCCACGTCCACGTCCACGTCCATGTCCACGTCCATGTCCACGTCCATGTCCACGTCCACGTCCACGTCCACGTCCATAACTATGTCCATGTCCACGTCCACGTCCATGTCCACGTCCATGTCTACGTCCATGTCCACGTCCACGTCCACGTCCATAACTACGTCCATGTCCACGTCCATGTCCATGTCCACGTCCATGTCCACGTCCATGTCCACGTCCACGTCCACGTCCATGTCCACGTCCACGTCCACGTCCATGTCCACGTCCACGTCCACGTCCATGTCCACGTCCATGTCCACGTCCACGTCCACGTCCACGTCCACGTCCACGTCCACGTCCATTTCTACGTCCACGTCCACGTCCACGTCCATGTCCACGTCCACGTCCACGTCCATTTCTATGTCCACGTCCACGTCCACGTCCACGTCCATGTCCACGTCCACGTCCACGTCCACGTCCATGTCCACGTCGACGTCCACGTCCATGTCCACGTCCACGTCCACGTCCACGTCCACGTCCACGTCTACGTCCACGTCCACGTCCATGTCCACGTCCACGTCCACGTCCACCTCCATGTCCACGTCCACCTCCACGTCCACCTCCACGTCCACCTCCACGTCCACGTCCACGTCTACGTCCACCTCCACGTCCACCTCCACGTCCACCTCCACGTCCACCTCCACGTCCACGTCCACGTCCACGTCCACCTCCACGTCCACCTCCACGTCCACCTCCACGTCCACGTCCACCTCCATGTCCACGTCCACCTCCACGTCCACCTCCACGTCCACGTCGACGTCCATGTCCACGTCCACGTCCACGTCCACGTCCACGTCCACGTCCACGTCCACGTCCACACGTCCACGTCCATGTCGACGTCCATGTCCACGTCCACCTCCACCTCCACCTCCACGTCTACGTCCACGTCCACGTCCACGTCCACGTCCATGTCCACGTCCACGTCCACGTCCACGTCCACACGTCCACGTCCATGTCGACGTCCATGTCCACGTCCACCTCCACCTCCACCTCCACGTCCACGTCCACGTCCACGTCCATGTCCGCGTCGACGTCCACGTCCATGTCCACGTCCACGTCCACGTCCACGTCCACGTCTACGTCCACGTCCACGTCCATGTCCACGTCCACGTCCACGTCCACCTCCATGTCCACGTCCACCTCCACGTCCACCTCCACGTCCACCTCCACGTCCACGTCCACGTCTACGTCCACCTCCACGTCCACCTCCACGTCCACCTCCACGTCCACCTCCACGTCCACGTCCACGTCCACGTCCACGTCCACCTCCACGTCCACCTCCACGTCCACCTCCATGTCCACGTCCACCTCCATGTCCACGTCCACCTCCACGTCCACCTCCACGTCCACGTCCACGTCCATGTCCACGTCCACGTCCACGTCCACGTCCACGTCGACGTCGACGTCCACGTCCACGTCCACGTCCACGTCCACACGTCCACGTCCATGTCGACGTCCATGTCCACGTCCACCTCCACCTCCACCTCCACGTCTACGTCCACGTCCACGTCCATGTCCACGTCCACGTCCACGTCCATGTCTACGTCCATGTCCACGTCCACGTCCACGTCCACGTCCAAGGCCACGTCCATGTCCACGTCCATGTCCACGTCCACACGTCCACGTCCACGTCACGTCCACGTCCACGTCCACGTCCACGTCCACACGTCCACGTCCATGTCGACGTCCATGTCCACGTCCACCTCCACCTCCACCTCCACGTCTACGTCCACGTCCACGTCCACGTCCACGTCCACGTCCATGTCCACGTCCACGTCCACGTCCACGTCCACGTCCACGTCCACACGTCCACGTCCATGTCGACGTCCATGTCCACGTCCACCTCCACCTCCACCTCCACGTCCACGTCCACGTCCACGTCCACGTCCATGTCCACGTCGACGTCCACGTCCATGTCCACGTCCACGTCCAGGTCCACGTCCACGTCCACGTCTACGTCCACGTCCACGTCCATGTCCACGTCCACGTCCACGTCCACCTCCATGTCCACGTCCACCTCCACGTCCACCTCCACGTCCACCTCCACGTCCACGTCCACGTCTACGTCCACCTCCACGTCCACCTCCACGTCCACCTCCACGTCCACCTCCACGTCCACGTCCACGTCCACGTCCACGTCCACCTCCACGTCCACCTCCACGTCCACCTCCACGTCCACCTCCACCTCCATGTCCACGTCCACCTCCACGTCCACCTCCACGTCCACGTCCACGTCCATGTCCACGTCCACGTCCACGTCCACGTCCACGTCCACGTCCACGTCCACGTCCAGGTCCACGTCCACGTCCATGTCCACGTCCACGTCTACGTCCACGTCCATGTCCAGGTCCACGTCCACGTCCACGTCTACGTCCACGTCCACGTCCACGTCCACGTCCACGTCCACGTCTACGTCCATGTCCACGTCCACGTCCATGTCCACGTCCACGTCCATGTCCACGTCCACGTCCATGTCCACGTCCACGTCCACGTCCATGTCCACGTCCACGTCCACGTCCACGTCCATGTCCACGTCCACGTCCACGTCTACGTCCACGTCCACGTCCATGTCCATGTCTACGTCCACGTCCAAGTCCACGTCCATGTCCACGTCCACGTCCACGTCCACGTCCACGTCCACGTCCATGTCCACGTCCACGTCCATGTCCACGTCCACGTCCTTGTCCACGTCCATGTCCACGTCCATGTCCACGTCCACGTCCACGTCCATGTCCACGTCCACGTCCACGTCCACGTCCACGTCCACGTCTACGTCCACGTCCATGTCCATGTCCACGTCCACGTCCACGTCCACCTCCATGTCCACGTCCACCTCCATGTCCACCTCCACGTCCACGTCCACGTCCACGTCCACGTCTACGTCCACCTCCACGTCCACCTCCACGTCCACCTCCACGTCCACCTCCACGTCCACGTCCACGTCCACGTCCACGTCCACGTCCACCTCCACGTCCACCTCCACGTCCACCTCCACGTCCACGTCCACCTCCATGTCCACCTCCACCTCCACGTCCACCTCCACGTCCACGTCCACGTCCATGTCCACGTCCACGTCCACGTCCACGTCCACGTCCACGTCCACGTCCACGTCCACGTCCACGTCCACACGTCCACGTCCATGTCGACGTCCATGTCCACGTCCACCTCCACCTCCACCTCCACGTCTACGTCCACGTCCACGTCCACGTCCACGTCCATGTCCACGTCCACGTCCACGTCCACGTCCACGTCCACGTCCACGTCCACACGTCCACGTCCATGTCGACGTCCATGTCCACGTCCACCTCCACCTCCACCTCCACGTCCACGTCCACGTCCACGTCCACGTCCATGTCCACGTCGACGTCCACGTCCATGTCCACGTCCACGTCCACGTCCACGTCCACGTCCACGTCCACGTCTACGTCCACGTCCACGTCCATGTCCACGTCCACGTCCACCTCCACGTCCACCTCCACGTCCACCTCCACGTCCACGTCCACCTCCATGTCCACGTCCACCTCCACGTCCACCTCCACGTCCACGTCCACGTCCACGTCCACGTCCACGTCCACGTCCACGTCCACGTCTACGTCCACGTCCATGTCCACGTCCACGTTCACGTCCATTTCTACGTCCACGTCCATGTCCACGTCCACGTCCATGTCCACGTCCACGTCCACGTCCATGTGCACGTCCACGTCCACGTCCATTTCTACGTCCTTGTCCATGTCCACGTCCACCTCCACGTCCACGTCCACGTCCACGTCCATTTCCAGGTCCACGTCCACGTCCACGTCCACGTCCACGTCCACGTCCATGTCCAGGTCCACGTCCACGTCCACGTCCACGTCTACGTCCACGTTCATGTCCACGTCCACGTCCACGTCCATGTCCACGTCCACGTCGACGTCCACGTCCACGTCCACGTCTCGTCCACGTCCAAGTCCACGTCCACGTCCAAGTCCACGTCCATGTCCACGTCCATGTCCACGTCCACGTCCACGTCCACGTCCACGTCCATGTCCACGTCCACGTCCATGTCCACGTCCACGTCCATGTCCACGTCCACGTCCATGTCCACGTCCACGTCCACGTCCATGTCCACATCCACGTCCATGTCCACGTCCACGTCCACGTCCACGTCCATGTCTACGTCCACGTCCACGTCCATGTCCACGTCCACGTCCATGTCCACGTCCACGTCCACGTCCATGTCCACGTCCACGTCTACGTCCACGTCCACGTCCACGTCCACGTCCACGTCCATGTCCACGTCCATGTCCACGTCCACGTCTACGTCCACGTCCACGTCCACCTCCATATCCATGACCACGTCCATGTCCACGTCCACGTCCATGTCCATGTCCACGTCCACGTCCACGTCCATTTCTACGTCCACGTCCACGTCCACGCCTACGTCCACGTCCATGTCCACGTCCACGTCCACGTCCATTTCTACGTCCACGTCCACGTCCACGTCCATGTCCAAGTCCATGTCCACGTCCACGTGCACAACCACGTCCATTTCTACGTCCACGTCCACGTCCACGTCCATGTCCACGTCCATATCCACGTCCACGTCCACGTCCACGTCCACATCCACGTCTACGTCCACGTCCACGTCCACGTCCACGTCCACGTCCATGTCCACGTCCACGTCCACGTCCATTTCTACGTCCACGTCCATGTCCACGTCCACGTCCATGTCCACGTCCACGTCCACGTCCATGTGCACGTCCACGTCCACGTCCATTTCTACGTCCTTGTCCATGTCCACGTCCACCTCCACGTCCACGTCCACGTCTACGTCCACGTCCACGTCCACGTCCATGTCCACGTCCATGTCCACGTCCACGTCCACGTCCACGTCTACGTCCACGTCCACGTCCACGTCTACGTCCACGTCCATGTCCACGTCCACGTCCACGTCCATTTCTACGTCCACGTCCATGTCCACGTCCACGTCCACGTCCACGTCCACGTCCACGTCCACGTCCATGTGCACGTCCACGTCCACGTCCATTTCTACGTCCTTGTCCATGTCCACGTCCACGTCCACGTCCACGTCCACGTCCACGTCCACGTCCACGTCCATGTCCACGTCCACGTCCACGTCCACGTCCACGTCTACGTCTCGTCCACGTCCAAGTCCACGTCCATGTCCAAGTCCACGTCCATGTCCACGTCCATGTCCACGTCCACGTCCACGTCCACGTCCACGTCCACGTCCACGTCCACGTCCATGTCCACGTCCACGTCCATGTCCACGTCCACGTCCATGTCCACGTCCATGTCCACGTCCATGTCCACGTCCACGTCCACGTCCATGTCCACGTCCACGTCCATGTCCACGTCCACGTCCACGTCCACGTCCATGTCCACGTCCACGTCCACGTCTACGTTCATGTCCACGTCCATGTCCACGTCCACGTCCAAGTCCACGTCCATGTCCACGTCCACGTCCATTTCTACGTCCACGTCCACGTCCATGTCCACGTCCACGTCCATGTCCACGTCCATGTCTATGTCCACGTCCATGTCCACGTCCATGTCCACGTCCATGTCCACGTCCAGGTCCACGTCCACGTCCACGTCCATAACTACGTCCACGTCCACGTCCACATCCACGTCCACGTCCACGTCCATGTCCACGTCCACGTCCACGTCCACGTCCATGTCCACGTCCATGTCCACGTCCACGTCCACGTCCACGTCCACGTCCACGTCCATTTCTACGTCCACGTCCACGTCCACGTCCATGTCCACGTCCACGTCCACGTCCATTTCTACGTCCACGTCCACGTCCACGTCCAAGTCCACGTCCATGTCCACGTCCATGTTCACGTCGACGTCCACGTCGACGTCCATGTCCACGTCCACGTCCACGTCCACGTCCACGTCCACGTCTACGTCCACGTCCACGTCCACGTCCATGTCCACGTCCACGTCCACGTCCACGTCCACGTCCACGTCCACGTCCACGTCCACGTCCACGTCCACGTCCACGTCCACGTCCATGTCCACGTCTACGTCCACGTCCACGTCCACGTCCACGTCCACGTCCACGTCCATGTCCACGTCCATGTCCACGTCCACGTCCATGTCCACGTCCACGTCCATGTCCACGTCCACGTCCACGTCCATGTCCACGTCCACGTCCACGTCCACGTCCATGTCCACGTCCACGTCCATGTCCACGTCCACGTCCAAGTCCACGTCCACGTCCACGTCCACGTCCACGTCCATGTCCACGTCCACGTCCATGTCCACGTCGACGTCCACGTCCACGTCCACGTCCACGTCCACGTCTACGTCTCGTCCACGTCCAAGTCCACGTCCATGTCCAAGTCCACGTTCATGTCCACGTCCATGTCCACGTCCACGTCCACGTCCACGTCCACGTCCACGTCCACGTCCACGTCCACGTCCACGTCCATGTCCACGTCCACGTCCATGTCCACGTCCACGTCCATGTCCACGTCCATGTCCACGTCCATGTCCACGTCCACGTCCACGTCCATGTCCACGTCCACGTCCATGTCCACGTCCACGTCCACGTCCACGTCCATGTCCACGTCCACGTCCACGTCTACGTTCATGTCCACGTCCATGTCCACGTCCACGTCCAAGTCCACGTCCATGTCCACGTCTACGTCCATTTCTACGTCCACGTCCACGTCCATGTCCACGTCCACGTCCATGTCCACGTCCATGTCTATGTCCACGTCCATGTCCACGTCCATGTCCACGTCCATGTCCACGTCCAGGTCCACGTCCACGTCCACGTCCACGTCCATAACTACGTCCAGGTCCACGTCCACATCCACGTCCACGTCCACGTCCATGTCCACGTCCACGTCCACGTCCACGTCCATGTCCACGTCCATGTCCACGTCCACGTCCACGTCCACGTCCACGTCCACGTCCATTTCTACGTCCACGTCCACGTCCACGTCCATGTCCACGTCCACGTCCACGTCCATTTCTACGTCCACGTCCACGTCCACGTCCAAGTCCACGTCCATGTCCACGTCCATGTTCACGTCGACGTCCACGTCGACGTCCATGTCCACGTCCACGTCCACGTCCACGTCCACGTCCACGTCTACGTCCACGTCCACGTCCATGTCCACGTCCACGTCCACGTCCACGTCCACGTCCACGTCCACGTCCACGTCCACGTCCACGTCCATGTCCACGTCTACGTCCACGTCCACGTCCACGTCCACGTCCACGTCCACGTCCACGTCCATGTCCACGTCCATGTCCACGTCCACGTCCATGTCCACGTCCACGTCCACGTCCATGTCCACGTCCACGTCCACGTCCACGTCCATGTCCACGTCCACGTCCACGTCCACGTCCATGTCCACGTCCACGTCCATGTCCACGTCCACGTCCAAGTCTACGTCCACGTCCATGTCCACGTCCACGTCCACGTCCACGTCCATGTCCACGTCCACGTCCATGTCCACGTCCACGTCCATGTCCACGTCCATGTCCACGTCCATGTCCACGTCCACGTCCACGTCCATGTCCACGTCCACGTCCACGTCCACGTCCATGTCCACGTCCACGTCCACGTCGACGTCCATGTCCACGTCCACGTCCACGTCTACGTCCATGTCCACGTCCATGTCCACGTCCACGTCCAAGTCCACGTCCATGTCCACGTCCACGTCTAAGTCCACGTCCACGTCCACGTCTACGTCCACGTCCATGTCCACGTCCACGTCCATGTCCATTTCTACGTCCACATCCATGTCCACGTCCACGTCCATGTCCACGTCCACGTCCACGTCCATGTGCACGTCCACGTCCACGTCCATGTCCACGTCCACGTCCACGTCCACGTCCACGTCCACGTCCACGTCTCGTCCACGTCCAAGTCCACGTCCACGTCCAAGTCCACGTCCATGTCCACGTCCATGTCCACGTCCACGTCCACGTCCACGTCCACGTCCACGTCCATGTCCACGTCCACGTCCATGTCCACGTCCACGTCCATGTCCACGTCCATGTCCACGTCCATGTCCACGTCCACGTCCACGTCCATGTCCACGTCCACGTCCATGTCCACGTCCACGTCCACGTCCACGTCCATGTCCACGTCCACGTCCACGTCTACGTCCATGTCCACGTCCATGTCCACGTCCACGTCCAAGTCCACGTCCATGTCCACGTCCACGTCTACGTCCACGTCCATGTCCACGTCCACGTCCACGTCCATTTCTACGTCCACGTCCACGTCCACGTCCACGTCCACGTCCATGTCCACGTCCACGTCCATGTCCACGTCCACGTCCACGTCCACGTCCAAGTCCACGTCCATGTCCAAGTCCACGTCCATGTCCACGTCCATGTCCACGTCCACGTCCACGTCCACGTCCACGTCCACGTCCATGTCCACGTCCACGTCCATGTCCACGTCCACGTCCATGTCCACGTCCATGTCCACGTCCATGTCCACGTCTACGTCCACGTCCATGTCCACGTCCACGTCCATGTCCACGTCCACGTCCACGTCCACGTCCATGTCCACGTCCACGTCCACATCTACGTTCATGTCCACGTCCATGTCCACGTCCACGTCCAAGTCCACGTCCATGTCCACGTCCACGTCCATTTCTACGTCCACGTCCACGTCCATGTCCACGTCCACGTCCATGTCCACGTCCATGTCTATGTCCACGTCCATGTCCACGTCCATGTCCACGTCCATGTCCACGTCCATGTCCACGTCCACGTCCACCTCCACGTCCATAACTACGTCCACGTCCACGTCCATGTCCACGTCCACGTCCACGTCCACGTCCATGTCCACGTCCATGTCCACGTCCACGTCCACGTCCACGTCCACGTCCATTTCTACGTCCACGTCCACGTCCACGTCCATGTCCACGTCCACGTCCACGTCCATTTCTACGTCCACGTCCACGTCCACGTCCAAGTCCACGTCCATGTCCACGTCCATGTTCACGTCGACGTCCACGTCGACGTCCATGTCCACGTCCACGTCCACGTCCACGTCCACGTCCACGTCCACGTCCACGTCTACGTCCACGTCCACGTCCATGTCCACGTCCACGTCCACGTCCACGTCCACGTCCACGTTCACGTCCACGTCCACGTCCACGTCCACGTCCACGTCCACGTCCACGTCCATGTCCACGTCCACGTCCACGTCCATGTCCACGTCCACGTCCACGTCCACGTCCATGTCCACGTCCACGTCCACGTCCACGTCCATGTCCACGTCCACGTCCATGTCCACGTCCACGTCCAAGTCCACGTCCACGTCCACGTCCATGTCCACGTCCACGTCCACGTCCACGTCCACGTCCACGTCCACGTCCATTTCTACGTCCACGTCCACGTCCACGTCCATGTCCACGTCCACGTCCACGTCCATTTCTACGTCCACGTCCACGTCCACGTCCAAGTCCACAGTCCATGTCCACGTCCATGTTCACGTCGACGTCCACGTCGACGTCCATGTCCACGTCCACGTCCACGTCCACGTCCACGTCCACGTCCACGTCTACGTCCACGTCCACGTCCATGTCCACGTCCACGTCCACGTCCACGTCCACGTCCACGTCCACGTCCACGTCCACGTCCACGTCCACGTCCACGTCCACGTCCATGTCCACGTCCATGTCCACGTCCACGTCCATGTCCACGTCCACGTCCACGTCCATGTCCACGTCCACGTCTACGTCCACGTCCATGTCCACGTCCACGTCCACGTCCATTTCTACGTCCACGTCCACGTCCACGTCCACGTCCACGTCCATGTCCACGTCCACGTCCATGTCCACGTCCACGTCCACGTCCAAGTCCACGTCCATGTCCAAGTCCACGTCCATGTCCACGTCCATGTCCACGTCCACGTCCACGTCCACGTCCACGTCCACGTCCACGTCCACGTCCATGTCCACGTCCACGTCCATGTCCACGTCCACATCCATGTCCACGTCCATGTCCACGTCCATGTCCACGTCTACGTCCACGTCCATGTCCACGTCCACGTCCATGTCCACGTCCACGTCCACGTCCACGTCCATGTCCACGTCCACGTCCACATCTACGTTCATGTCCACGTCCATGTCCACGTCCACGTCCAAGTCCACGTCCATGTCCACGTCCACGTCCATTTCTACGTCCACGTCCACGTCCATGTCCACGTCCACGTCCATGTCCACGTCCATGTCTATGTCCACGTCCATGTCCACGTCCATGTCCACGTCCATGTCCACGTCCATGTCCACGTCCACGTCCACCTCCACGTCCATAACTACGTCCACGTCCACGTCCATGTCCACGTCCACGTCCACGTCCACGTCCATGTCCACGTCCATGTCCACGTCCACGTCCACGTCCACGTCCACGTCCATTTCTACGTCCACGTCCACGTCCACGTCCATGTCCACGTCCACGTCCACGTCCATTTCTACGTCCACGTCCACGTCCACGTCCAAGTCCACGTCCATGTCCACGTCCATGTTCACGTCGACGTCCACGTCGACGTCCATGTCCACGTCCACGTCCACGTCCACGTCCACGTCCACGTCCACGTCCACGTCCACGTCCATGTCCACGTCCACGTCCACGTCCACGTCCACGTCCACGTTCACGTCCACGTCCACGTCCACGTCCACGTCCACGTCCACGTCCACGTCCACGTCCACGTCCATGTCCACGTCCACGTCCACGTCCATGTCCACGTCCACGTCCACGTCCATGTCCACGTCCACGTCCACGTCCACGTCCATGTCCACGTCCACGTCCATGTCCACGTCCACGTCCAAGTCCACGTCCACGTCCACGTCCATGTCCACGTCCACGTCCACGTCCACGTCCACGTCCACGTCCACGTCCATTTCTACGTCCACGTCCACGTCCACGTCCATGTCCACGTCCACGTCCACGTCCATTTCTACGTCCACGTCCACGTCCACGTCCAAGTCCACGTCCATGTCCACGTCCATGTTCACGTCGACGTCCACGTCGACGTCCATGTCCACGTCCACGTCCACGTCCACGTCCACGTCCACGTCTACGTCCACGTCCACGTCCATGTCCACGTCCACGTCCACGTCCACGTCCACGTCCACGTCCACGTCCACGTCCACGTCCACGTCCACGTCCACGTCTACGTCCACGTCCACGTCCACGTCCACGTCCACGTCCACGTCCATGTCCACGTCCATGTCCACGTCCACGTCCATGTCCACGTCCACGTCCACGTCCATGTCCACGTCCACGTCCACGTCCACGTCCATGTCCACGTCCACGTCCACGTCCATGTCCACGTCCACGTCCATGTCCACGTCCACGTCCAAGTCCACGTCCACGTCCACGTCCATGTCCACGTCCACGTCCACGTCCACGTCCACGTCCATGTCCACGTCCACGTCCATGTCCACGTCCACGTCCATGTCCACGTCCATGTCCACGTCCATGTCCACGTCCACGTCCACGTCCATGTCCACGTCCACGTCCACGTCCACGTCCATGTCCACGTCCACGTCCACGTCGACGTCCATGTCCATGTCCACGTCCACGTCTACGTCCATGTCCACGTCCATGTCCACGTCCACGTCCAAGTCCACGTCCATGTCCACGTCCACGTCTAAGTCCACGTCCACGTCCACGTCTACGTCCACGTCCATGTCCACGTCCACGTCCATGTCCATTTCTACGTCCACATCCATGTCCACGTCCACGTCCATGTCCACGTCCACGTCCACGTCCATGTGCACGTCCACGTCCACGTCCATGTCCACGTCCACGTCCACGTCCACGTCCACGTCTCGTCCACGTCCAAGTCCACGTCCACGTCCAAGTCCACGTCCGTGTCCACGTCCATGTCCACGTCCACGTCCACGTCCACGTCCACGTCCACGTCCATGTCCACGTCCACGTCCATGTCCACGTCCACGTCCATGTCCACGTCCATGTCCACGTCCATGTCCACGTCCACGTCCACGTCCATGTCCACGTCCACGTCCATGTCCACGTCCACGTCCACGTCCATGTCCACGTCCACGTCCACGTCTACGTCCATGTCCACGTCCATGTCCACGTCCACGTCCAAGTCCACGTCCATGTCCACGTCCACGTCTATGTCCACGTCCATGTCCACGTCCACGTCCACGTCCATTTCTACGTCCATTTCTACGTCCACGTCCACGTCCATGTCCACGTCCACGTCCATGTCCACGTCCATGTCTATGTCCACGTCCATGTCCACGTCCATGTCCACGTCCATGTCCACGTCCAGGTCCACGTCCACGTCCACGTCCACGTCCATAACTACGTCCACGTCCACGTCCACATCCACGTCCACGTCCACGTCCATGTCCACGTCCACGTCCACGTCCACGTCCATGTCCACGTCCATGTCCACGTCCACGTCCACGTCCACGTCCACGTCCACGTCCATTTCTACGTCCACGTCCACGTCCACGTCCATGTCCACGTCCACGTCCACGTCCATTTCTACGTCCACGTCCACGTCCACGTCCAAGTCCACGTCCATGTCCACATCCATGTTCACGTCGACGTCCACGTCGACGTCCATGTCCACGTCCACGTCCACGTCCACGTCCACGTCCACGTCCACGTCCACGTCCACGTCTACGTCCACGTCCACGTCCACGTCCATGTCCACGTCCACGTCCACGTCCACGTCCACGTCCACGTCCACGTCCACGTCCACGTCCACGTCCACGTCCATGTCCACGTCTACGTCCACGTCCACGTCCACGTCCACGTCCACGTCCACGTCCACGTCCATGTCCACGTCCATGTCCACGTCCACGTCCATGTCCACGTCCACGTCCACGTCCATGTCCACGTCCACGTCCACGTCCATGTCCACGTCCACGTCCACGTCCACGTCCATGTCCACGTCCACGTCCATGTCCACGTCCACGTCCAAGTCCACGTCCACGTCCACGTCCACGTCCACGTCCATGTCCACGTCCACGTCCATGTCCACGTCCACGTCCACGTCCACGTCCACGTCCACGTCCACGTCCACGTCCATGTCCACGTCCACGTCCACGTCCACGTCCACGTCCACGTCCACGTCTACGTCTCGTCCACGTCCAAGTCCACGTCCATGTCCAAGTCCACGTCCATGTCCACGTCCATGTCCACGTCCACGTCCACGTCCACGTCCACGTCCACGTCCACGTCCACGTCCATGTCCACGTCCACGTCCATGTCCACGTCCACGTCCATGTCCACGTCCATGTCCACGTCCATGTCCACGTCCACGTCCACGTCCATGTCCACGTCCACGTCCATGTCCACGTCCACGTCCACGTCCACGTCCATGTCCACGTCCACGTCCATGTCTACGTTCATGTCCACGTCCATGTCCACGTCCACGTCCAAGTCCACGTCCATGTCCACGTCCACGTCCATTTCTACGTCCACGTCCACGTCCATGTCCACGTCCACGTCCATGTCCACGTCCATGTCTATGTCCACGTCCATGTCCACGTCCATGTCCACGTCCATGTCCACGTCCAGGTCCACGTCCACGTCCACGTCCACGTCCATAACTACGTCCACGTCCACGTCCACATCCACGTCCACGTCCACGTCCATGTCCACGTCCACGTCCACGTCCACGTCCATGTCCACGTCCATGTCCACGTCCACGTCCACGTCCACGTCCACGTCCATTTCTACGTCCACGTCCACGTCCACGTCCATGTCCACGTCCACGTCCACGTCCATTTCTACGTCCACGTCCACGTCCACGTCCAAGTCCACGTCCATGTCCACGTCCATGTTCACGTCGACGTCCACGTCGACGTCCATGTCCACGTCCACGTCCACGTCCACGTCCACGTCCACGTCTACGTCCACGTCCACGTCCACGTCCATGTCCACGTCCACGTCCACGTCCACGTCCACGTCCACGTCCACGTCCACGTCCATGTCCACGTCTACGTCCACGTCCACGTCCACGTCCACGTCCACGTCCACGTCCACGTCCATGTCCACGTCCATGTCCACGTCCACGTCCATGTCCACGTCCACGTCCACGTCCACGTCCACGTCCATGTCCACGTCCACGTCCACGTCCATGTCCACGTCCACGTCCATGTCCACGTCCACGTCCAAGTCCACGTCCACGTCCATGTCCACGTCCACGTCCACGTCCACGTCCATGTCCACGTCCACGTCCATGTCCACGTCCACGTCCATGTCCACGTCCATGTCCACGTCCATGTCCACGTCCACGTCCACGTCCATGTCCACGTCCACGTCCACGTCCACGTCCATGTCCACGTCCACGTCCACGTCGACGTCCATGTCCACGTCCACGTCCACGTCTACGTCCATGTCCACGTCCATGTCCACGTCCACGTCCAAGTCCACGTCCATGTCCACGTCCACGTCTAAGTCCACGTCCACGTCCACGTCTACGTCCACGTCCATGTCCACGTCCACGTCCATGTCCATTTCTACGTCCACATCCATGTCCACGTCCACGTCCATGTCCACGTCCACGTCCACGTCCATGTGCACGTCCACGTCCACGTCCATGTCCACGTCCACGTCCACGTCCACGTCCACGTCCACGTCCACGTCTCGTCCACGTCCAAGTCCACGTCCACGTCCAAGTCCACGTCCATGTCCACGTCCATGTCCACGTCCACGTCCACGTCCACGTCCACGTCCACGTCCACGTCCATGTCCACGTCCACGTCCATGTCCACGTCCACGTCCATGTCCACGTCCATGTCCACGTCCATGTCCACGTCCACGTCCACGTCCATGTCCACGTCCACGTCCATGTCCACGTCCACGTCCACGTCCACGTCCATGTCCACGTCCACGTCCACGTCTACGTCCATGTCCACGTCCATGTCCACGTCCACGTCCAAGTCCACGTCCATGTCCACGTCCACGTCTACGTCCACGTCCATGTCCACGTCCACGTCCACGTCCATTTCTACGTCCACGTCCACGTCCACGTCCACGTCCACGTCCATGTCCACGTCCACGTCCATGTCCACGTCCACGTCCACGTCCACGTCCAAGTCCACGTCCATGTCCAAGTCCACGTCCATGTCCACGTCCATGTCCACGTCCACGTCCACGTCCACGTCCACGTCCACGTCCATGTCCACGTCCACGTCCATGTCCACGTCCACATCCATGTCCACGTCCATGTCCACGTCCATGTCCACGTCTACGTCCACGTCCATGTCCACGTCCACGTCCATGTCCACGTCCACGTCCACGTCCACGTCCATGTCCACGTCCACGTCCACATCTACGTTCATGTCCACGTCCATGTCCACGTCCACGTCCAAGTCCACGTCCATGTCCACGTCCACGTCCATTTCTACGTCCACGTCCACGTCCATGTCCACGTCCACGTCCATGTCCACATCCATGTCTATGTCCACGTCCATGTCCACGTCCATGTCCACGTCCATGTCCACGTCCATGTCCACGTCCACGTCCACGTCCACGTCCATAACTACGTCCACGTCCACGTCCATGTCCACGTCCACGTCCACGTCCACGTCCATGTCCACGTCCATGTCCACGTCCACGTCCACGTCCACGTCCATTTCTACGTCCACGTCCACGTCCACGTCCATGTCCACGTCCACGTCCACGTCCATTTCTACGTCCACGTCCACGTCCACGTCCAAGTCCACGTCCATGTCCACGTCCATGTTCACGTCGACGTCCACGTCGACGTCCATGTCCACGTCCACGTCCACGTCCACGTCCACGTCCACGTCCACGTCTACGTCCACGTCCACGTCCATGTCCACGTCCACGTCCACGTCCACGTCCACGTCCACGTTCACGTCCACGTCCACGTCCACGTCCACGTCCACGTCCACGTCCACGTCCACGTCCATGTCCACGTCCACGTCCACGTCCACGTCCACGTCTACGTCCACGTCCATGTCCACGTCCACGTCCATGTCCATTTCTACGTCCACATCCATGTCCACGTCCACGTCCATGTCCACGTCCACGTCCACGTCCATGTGCACGTCCACGTCCACGTCCATGTCCACGTCCACGTCCACGTCCACGTCCACGTCCACGTCCACGTCTCGTCCACGTCCAAGTCCACGTCCACGTCCAAGTCCACGTCCATGTCCACGTCCATGTCCACGTCCACGTCCACGTCCACGTCCACGTCCACGTCCACGTCCATGTCCACGTCCACGTCCATGTCCACGTCCACGTCCATGTCCACGTCCATGTCCACGTCCATGTCCACGTCCACGTCCACGTCCATGTCCACGTCCACGTCCATGTCCACGTCCACGTCCACGTCCACGTCCATGTCCACGTCCACGTCCACGTCTACGTCCATGTCCACGTCCATGTCCACGTCCACGTCCAAGTCCACGTCCATGTCCACGTCCACGTCTACGTCCACGTCCATGTCCACGTCCACGTCCACGTCCATTTCTACGTCCACGTCCACGTCCACGTCCACGTCCACGTCCATGTCCACGTCCACGTCCATGTCCACGTCCACGTCCACGTCCACGTCCAAGTCCACGTCCATGTCCAAGTCCACGTCCATGTCCACGTCCATGTCCACGTCCACGTCCACGTCCACGTCCACGTCCACGTCCATGTCCACGTCCACGTCCATGTCCACGTCCACATCCATGTCCACGTCCATGTCCACGTCCATGTCCACGTCTACGTCCACGTCCATGTCCACGTCCACGTCCATGTCCACGTCCACGTCCACGTCCACGTCCATGTCCACGTCCACGTCCACATCTACGTTCATGTCCACGTCCATGTCCACGTCCACGTCCAAGTCCACGTCCATGTCCACGTCCACGTCCATTTCTACGTCCACGTCCACGTCCATGTCCACGTCCACGTCCATGTCCACGTCCATGTCTATGTCCACGTCCATGTCCACGTCCATGTCCACGTCCATGTCCACGTCCATGTCCACGTCCACGTCCACGTCCACGTCCATAACTACGTCCACGTCCACGTCCATGTCCACGTCCACGTCCACGTCCACGTCCATGTCCACGTCCATATCCACGTCCACGTCCACGTCCACGTCCATTTCTACGTCCACGTCCACGTCCACGTCCATGTCCACGTCCACGTCCACGTCCATTTCTACGTCCACGTCCACGTCCACGTCCAAGTCCACGTCCATGTCCACGTCCATGTTCACGTCGACGTCCACGTCGACGTCCATGTCCACGTCCACGTCCACGTCCACGTCCACGTCCACGTCCACGTCCACGTCTACGTCCACGTCCACGTCCATGTCCACGTCCACGTCCACGTCCACGTCCACGTCCACGTTCACGTCCACGTCCACGTCCACGTCCACGTCCACGTCCACGTCCACGTCCACGTCCACGTCCATGTCCACGTCCACGTCCACGTCCATGTCCACGTCCACGTCCACGTCCACGTCCATGTCCACGTCCACGTCCACGTCCACGTCCATGTCCACGTCCACGTCCATGTCCACGTCCACGTCCAAGTCCACGTCCACGTCCACGTCCATGTCCACGTCCACGTCCACGTCCACGTCCACGTCCACGTCCATTTCTACGTCCACGTCCACGTCCACGTCCATGTCCACGTCCACGTCCACGTCCATTTCTACGTCCACGTCCACGTCCACGTCCAAGTCCACGTCCATGTCCACGTCCATGTTCACGTCGACGTCCACGTCGACGTCCATGTCCACGTCCACGTCCACGTCCACGTCCACGTCCACGTCTACGTCCACGTCCACGTCCATGTCCACGTCCACGTCCACGTCCACGTCCACGTCCACGTCCACGTCCACGTCCACGTCCACGTCCACGTCCACGTCCACGTCTACGTCCACGTCCACGTCCACGTCCACGTCCACGTCCACGTCCATGTCCACGTCCATGTCCACGTCCACGTCCATGTCCACGTCCACGTCCACGTCCATGTCCACGTCCACATCCACGTCCACGTCCATGTCCACGTCCACGTCCTCGTCCATGTCCACGTCCACGTCCATGTCCACGTCCACGTCCAAGTCCACGTCCACGTCCACGTCCATGTCCACGTCCACGTCCACGTCCACGTCCACGTCCATGTCCACGTCCACGTCCATGTCCACGTCCACGTCCATGTCCACGTCCATGTCCACGTCCATGTCCACGTCCACGTCCACGTCCATGTCCACGTCCACGTCCACGTCCATGTCCACGTCCACGTCCACGTCGACGTCCATGTCCATGTCCACGTCCACGTCTACGTCCATGTCCACGTCCATGTCCACGTCCACGTCCAAGTCCACGTCCATGTCCACGTCCACGTCTAAGTCCACGTCCACGTCCACGTCTACGTCCACGTCCATGTCCACGTCCACGTCCATGTCCATTTCTACGTCCACATCCATGTCCACGTCCACGTCCATGTCCACGTCCACGTCCACGTCCATGTGCACGTCCACGTCCACGTCCATGTCCACGTCCACGTCCACGTCCACGTCCACGTCTCGTCCACGTCCAAGTCCACGTCCACGTCCAAGTCCACGTCCGTGTCCACGTCCATGTCCACGTCCACGTCCACGTCCACGTCCACGTCCACGTCCATGTCCACGTCCACGTCCATGTCCACGTCCACGTCCATGTCCACGTCCATGTCCACGTCCATGTCCACGTCCACGTCCACGTCCATGTCCACGTCCACGTCCATGTCCACGTCCACGTCCACGTCCATGTCCACGTCCACGTCCACGTCTACGTCCATGTCCACGTCCATGTCCACGTCCACGTCCAAGTCCACGTCCATGTCCACGTCCACGTCTACGTCCACGTCCATGTCCACGTCCACGTCCACGTCCATTTCTACGTCCACGTCCACGTCCACGTCCACGTCCACGTCCACGTCCATGTCCACGTCCACGTCCATGTCCACGTCCACGTCCACGTCCACGTCCACCTCCACGTCCATAACTACGTCCACGTCCACGTCCATAACTACGTCCACGTCCACGTCCACGTCCAGGTCCACGTCCATGTCCACGTCCACGTCCACGTCCACGTCCACGTCCATTTCTACGTCCACGTCCACATCTACGTCCATGTCCACGTCCACGTCCACGTCCACGTCCACGTCCACGTCCACGTCCATGTCCACGTCAAAGTCCACCTCCACGTCCACCTCCACGTCCACGTCCACGTCCATGTCCACGTCCACGTCCACGTCCACGTCCACGTCCACGTCCACGTCCACGTCTACGTCCATGTCCACGTCCACGTCCACGTCCACGTCCACGTCCACGTCCACGTCCATGTCCACGTCCACGTCCACGTCCATGTCCACGTCCATGTCCACGTCCACGTCCACGTCCACGTCTACGTCCACGTCCACGTGCACGTGCACGTCAACGTCCACGTCCACGTCCACGTCCACGTCCATGTCCACGTCCACGTCCATGTCCACGTCCACGTCCATGTCCACGTCCACGTCCACGTCCACGTCCACGTCCAAGTCCACGTCCATGTCCACGTCCATGTCCACGTCCATGTCCACGTCCACGTCCACGTCCACGTCCACGTCCACGTCCATGTCCATGTCCACGTCCACGTCCATGTCCACGTCCACGTCCACGTCCATGTCCACGTCCATGTCCACGTCCACTTCCACGTCCATGTCCACGTCCACGTCCACATCCACGTCCATGTCCACGTCCACGTCCACGTCCATGTCCACGTCCACGTCCACGTCTACGTCCATGTCCACGTCCATGTCCACGTCCACATCCAAGTCCACGTCCATGTCCACGTCCACGTCCACGTCCACGTCCATGTCCACGTCCACGTCCACGTCCATGTCCACGTCCATGCCATGTCCATGTCCATGTCCACGTCCACGTCCACGTCCATGTCCATTTCTACGTCCACGTCCACGTCCATTTCTACGTCCACGTCCACGTCTACGTCCACGTCCATGTCCACGTCCACGTCCACGTCCACGTCCACGTCTACGTCCACGGCCATGTCCACGTCCACGTCCACGTCCACGTCCATTTCTACGTCCACGTCCACGTCCATGTCCATGTCCACGTCCACGTCCACGTCTACGTCCACGTCCACGTCCACGTCTACGTCCACGTCCATGTCCATGTCCACGTCCACGTCCACGTCCATTTCTACGTCCACGTCCATGTCCACGTCCACGTCCATGTCCACGTCCACGTCCACGTCCATGTGCACGTCCACGTCCACGTCCATTTCTACGTCCTTGTCCATGTCCACGTCCACCCCAACGTCCACGTCCACGTCCACGTCCATTTCCACGTCCACGTCCACGTCCACGTCCACGTCCACGTCCACGTCCATGTCCAGGTCCACGTCCACGTCCACGTCCACGTCCACGTCTACGTCTACGTCCACGTCCATGTCCACGTCCACGTCCACGTCCAGGTCCACGTCCACGTCCATGTCCACGTCCACGTCCACGTCCACGTCTCGTCCACGTCCAAGTCCACGTCCACGTCCAAGTCCACGTCCATGTCCACGTCCATGTCCACGTCCATGTCCACGTCCACGTCCACGTCCACGTCCACGTCCATGTCCACGTCCATGTCCACGTCCACGTCCACGTCCACGTCCACGTCCATGTCCACGTCCATGTCCATGTCCACGTCCACGTCCACGTCCACGTCCATGTCCACGTCCATGTCCACGTCCATGTCCACGTCCACGTCCATGTCCACGTCCATGTCCACGTCCACGTCCAAGTCCACGTCCATGTCCACGTCCACGTCTTAGTCCACGTCCACGTCCACGTCTACGTCCACGTCCATGTCCACGTCCACATCCATGTCCATTTGTACGTCCACGTCCATGTCCACGTCCACGTCCACGTCCATGTGCACGTCCACGTCCACGTCCATTTCTACGTCCTTGTCCATGTCCACGTCCACCTCCACGTCCACGTCCACGTCCACGTCCATTTCCAGGTCCACGTCCACGTCCACATCCACGTCCACGTCCACGTCCACGTCCATGTCCAGGTCCACGTCCACGTCCACGTCCACGTCTACGTCCACGTTGATGTCCACGTCCACGTCCACGTCCACGTCCACGTCCATGTCCACGTCCACGTCCACGTCCATGTCCACGTCCACGTCTCGTCCACGTCCAAGTCCACGTCCACGTCCAAGTCCACGTCCATGTCCACGTCCATGTCCACGTCCACGTCCACGTCCACGTCCACGTCCACGTCCATGTCCATGTCCACGTCCATGTCCACGTCCACGTCCATGTCCACGTCCACGTCCATGTCCACGTCCATGTCCACGTCCATGTCCACGTCCACGTCCACGTCCATGTCCACGTCCACGTCCATGTCCACGTCCACGTCTACGTCCACGTCCATGTCCACGTCCACGTCTACGTCCATGTCCACGTCCATATCCACGTCCACGTCCAAGTCCACGTCCATGTCCACGTCCACGTCTACGTCCACGTCCATGTCCACGTCCACGTCCACGTCCATTTCTACGTCCACGTCCACGTCCACGTCCACGTCCACGTCCACGTCCATGTCCACGTCCACGTCCATGTCCACGTCCACGTCCACGTCCACGTCCATGTCCACGTCCATGTCCACGTCCACGTCCACGTCCACGTCTACGTCCACGTCCACGTCCACGTGCACGTGCACGTCCACGTCCACGTCCACGTCCACGTCCACGTCCATGTCCACGTCCACGTCCATGTCCACGTCCACGTCCATGTCCACGTCCACGTCCACGTCCACGTCCACGTCCAAGTCCACGTCCATGTCCACGTCCATGTCCACGTCCATGTCCACGTCCACGTCCACGTCCACGTCCATGTCCATGTCCACGTCCACGTCCATGTCCACGTCCACGTCCACGTCCATGTCCACGTCCATGTCCACGTCCACTTCCACGTCCATGTCCACGTCCACGTCCACGTCCTCGTCCATGTCCACGTCCACGTCCACGTCCATGTCCACGTCCACGTCCACGTCTACGTCCATGTCCACGTCCATGTCCACGTCCACGTCCAAGTCCACGTCCATGTCCACGTCCACGTCCACGTCCACGTCCATGTCCACGTCCACGTCCATGTCCACGTCCATGCCATGTCCATGTCCATGTCCACGTCCACGTCCACGTCCATGTCCATTTCTACGTCCACGTCCACGTCCATTTCTACGTCCACGTCCACGTCCACGTCTACGTCCACGTCCATGTCCACGTCCACGTCCACGTCCACGTCCACGTCCACGTCTACGTCCACGGCCATGTCCACGTCCACGTCCACGTCCACGTCCATTTCTACGTCCACGTCCACGTCCATGTCCACGTCCACGTCCACGTCTACGTCCACGTCCACGTCCACGTCTACGTCCACGTCCATGTCCACGTCCACGTCCACGTCCATTTCTACGTCCACGTCCATGTCCACGTCCACGTCCATGTCCACGTCCACGTCCACGTCCATGTGCACGTCCACGTCCACGTCCATTTCTACGTCCTTGTCCATGTCCACGTCCACCTCCACGTCCACGTCCACGTCCACGTCCATTTCCACGTCCACGTCCACGTCCACGTCCACGTCCACGTCCACGTCCATGTCCAGGTCCACGTCCACGTCCACGTCCACGTTCACGTCTACGTCTACGTCCACGTCCATGTCCACGTCCACGTCCAGGTCCACGTCCACGTCCACTTCCATGTCCACGTCCACGTCCACGTCCACGTCTCGTCCACGTCCAAGTCCACGTCCACGTCCAAGTCCACGTCCATGTCCACGTCCATGTCTACGTCCACGTCCACGTCCACGTCCACGTCCACGTCCATGTCCACGTCCACGTCCACGTCCACGTCCATGTCCATGTCCACGTCCATGTCCACGTCCACGTCCACGTCCACGTCCACGTCCATGTCCACGTCCATGTCCATGTCCACGTCCACGTCCATGTCCACGTCCATGTCCATGTCCACGTCCACGTCCATGTCCACGTCCATGTCCACGTCCATGTCCACGTCCACGTCCATGTCCACGTCCATGTCCACGTCCACGTCCAAGTCCACGTCCATGTCCACGTCCACGTCTTAGTCCACGTCCACGTCCACGTCTACGTCCATGTCCATGTCCACGTCCACGTCCATGTCCATTTGTACGTCCACGTCCATGTCCACGTCCACGTCCACGTCCATGTGCACGTCCATGTCCACGTCCATTTCTACGTCCTTGTCCATGTCCACGTCCACCTCCACGTCCACGTCCACGTCCACGTCCATTTCCAGGTCCACGTCCACGTCCACATCCACGTCTACGTCCACGTCCACGTCCATGTCCAGGTCCACGTCCACGTCCACGTCCACGTCCACGTCTACGTCCACGTTGATGTCCACGTCCATGTCCACGTCCACGTCCACGTCCATGTCCACGTCCACGTCCACGTCCATGTCCACGTCCACGTCCACGTCCACGTCCATGTCCACGTCCACGTCCACGTCCACGTCCACGTCCACGTCCACGTCCACGTCCACGTCCATGTCCACGTCCACGTCCATGTGCACGTCCATGTCCACGTCCATTTCTACGTCCTTGTCCATGTCCACGTCCACCTCCACGTCCACGTCCACGTCCACGTCCATTTCCAGGTCCACGTCCACGTCCACATCCACGTCTACGTCCACGTCCACGTCCATGTCCAGGTCCACGTCCACGTCCACGTCCACGTCCACGTCCACGTCTCGTCCACGTCCAAGTCCACGTCCCGTCCAAGTCCACGTCCATGTCCACGTCCATGTCCACGTCCACGTCCACGTCCACGTCCACGTCCATGTCCACGTCCACGTCCATGTCCACGTCCACGTCCATGTCCACGTCCATGTCCACGTCCATGTCCACGTCCACGTCCACGTCCATGTCCACGTCCACGTCCATGTCCACGTCCACGTCTACGTCCACGTCCATGTCCACGTCCACGTCCACGTCTACGTCCATGTCCACGTCCATGTCCACGTCCACGTCCAAGTCCACGTCCATGTCCACGTCCACGTCTACGTCCACGTCCATGTCCACGTCCACGTCCACGTCCATTTCTACGTCCACGTCCACGTCCACGTCCACGTCCACGTCCACGTCCACGTCCATGTCCACGTCCACGTCCATGTCCACGTCCACGTCCACGTCGACGTCCACCTCCACGTCCATGTCCACGTCCACGTCCACGTCCACGTCCACGTCCACGTCCACGTCCACGTCTACGTCCACGTCCACGTCCACGTCTACGTCCACGTCCACGTCCACGTCCACGTCCACGTCCACGTCGACGTCCATGTCCACGTCCATGTCCACGTCCAGGTCCAAGTCCACGTCCATGTCCACGTCCATGTCCACGTCCATGTCCATGTCCAGGTCCAAGCCCACGTCCATGTCCACGTCCACGTCCACGTCCATGTCCACGTCCATGTCCACGTCCACCTCCACGTCCATTTCTACGTCCTTGTCCATGTCCACGTCCACCTCCACGTCCACGTCCACGTCCACGTCCATTTCCAGGTCCACGTCCACGTCCACATCCACGTCTACGTCCACGTCCACGTCCATGTCCAGGTCCACGTCCACGTCCACGTCCACGTCTCGTCCACGTCCAAGTCCACGTCCCGTCCAAGTCCACGTCCATGTCCACGTCCATGTCCACGTCCACGTCCACGTCCACGTCCACGTCCATGTCCACGTCCACGTCCATGTCCACGTCCACGTCCATGTCCACGTCCATGTCCACGTCCATGTCCACGTCCACGTCCACGTCCATGTCCACGTCCACGTCCATGTCCACGTCCACGTCTACGTCCACGTCCATGTCCACGTCCACGTCCACGTCTACGTCCATGTCCACGTCCATGTCCACGTCCACGTCCAAGTCCACGTCCATGTCCACGTCCACGTCTACGTCCACGTCCATGTCCACGTCCACGTCCACGTCCATTTCTACGTCCACGTCCACGTCCACGTCCACGTCCACGTCCACGTCCATGTCCACGTCCACGTCCATGTCCACGTCCACGTCCACGTCGACGTCCACCTCCACGTCCATGTCCACGTCCACGTCCACGTCCACGTCCACGTCCACGTCCACGTCTACGTCCACGTCCACGTCCACGTCTACGTCCACGTCCACGTCCACGTCCACGTCCACGTCCACGTCGACGTCCATGTCCACGTCCATGTCCACGTCCAGGTCCAAGTCCACGTCCATGTCCACGTCCATGTCCACGTCCATGTCCATGTCCAGGTCCAAGCCCACGTCCATGTCCACGTCCACGTCCACGTCCACGTCCACGTCCACGTCCAGGTCCACGTCCACGTCCACGTCCATGTCCACGTCCACGTCCACGTCCACGTCTCGTCCACGTCCAAGTCCACGTCCACGTCCAAGTCCACGTCCATGTCCACGTCCATGTCCACGTCCACGTCCACGTCCACGTCCACGTCCATGTCCACGTCCACGTCCACGTCCACGTCCACGTCCATGTCCACGTCCATGTCCATGTCCACGTCCACGTCCACGTCCACGTCCATGTCCACGTCCATGTCCATGTCCACGTCCACGTCCACGTCCACGTCCATGTCCACGTCCATGTCCACGTCCATGTCCACGTCCACGTCCATGTCCACGTCCATGTCCACGTCCACGTCCAAGTCCACGTCCATGTCCACGTCCACGTCTAAGTCCACGTCCACGTCCACGTCTACGTCCACGTCCATGTCCACGTCCACGTCCATGTCCATTTGTACGTCCACGTCCATGTCCACGTCCACGTCCATGTCCACGTCCACGTCCACGTCCATGTGCACGTCCACGTCCACGTCCATTTCTACGTCCTTGTCCATGTCCACGTCCACCTCCACGTCCACGTCCACGTCCACGTCCATTTCCAGGTCCACGTCCACGTCCACATCCACGTCCACGTCCACGTCCACGTCCACGTCCATGTCCAGGTCCACGTCCACGTCCACGTCCACGTCCACGTCCACGTCTACGTCCACGTCGATGTCCACGTCCATGTCCACGTCCACGTCCACGTCCATGTCCACGTCCACGTCCACGTCCATGTCCACGTCCACGTCTCGTCCACGTCCAAGTCCACGTCCACGTCCAAGTCCATGTCCATGTCCACGTCCATGTCCACGTCCACGTCCACGTCCATGTCCACGTCCACGTCCATGTCCACGTCCATGTCCACGTCCATGTCCACGTCCATGTCCACGTCCACGTCCACGTCCATGTCCACGTCCACGTCCACGTGCACGTCCACGTCCACGTCCACGTCCATATCCACGTCCACGTCCACGTCCATGTCCACGTCCATGTCCACGTCCACGTCCAAGTCCACGTCCATGTCCGTCTACGTCCACGTCCATGTCCACGTCCACGTCCATTTCTACGTCCACGTCCACGTCCACGTCCACGTCCACGTCCATGTCCACGTCCACGTCCATGTCCACGTCCACGTCCACGTCGATGTCCACCTCCACGTCCATGTCCACGTCCACGTCCATGTCCATGTTCACGTCCACGTCCACGTCCACGTCCACTTCCACGTCCACGTTTACGTCCACGTCCACGTCCACGTCTACGTCCACGTCCACGTCCACGTCTACGTCCACGTCCACGTCCACGTCCATGTCCACGTGCACGTCCACGTCCACGTCCAGGTCCACGTCCACGTCCACGTCCACGTCCATGTCTACGTCCACGTCCACGTCCACGTCCACGTCCACGTCCAGGTCCACGTCCACGTCCATGTCCACGTCCACGTCCACGTCCATGTCCACGTCCATGTCCACGTCCACGTCCACGTCCACGTCCACGTCTACGTCCACGTCCACGTCCACGTCCACGTGCACGTGCACGTGCACGTGCACGTGCACGTCCACGTCCACGTCCACGTCCACGTCCATGTCCACGTCCACGTCCATGTCCACGTCCACGTCCATGTCCACGTCCACGTCCATGTCCACGTCCACGTCCACCTCCACGTCCAAGTCCACGTCCATGTCCACGTCCATGTCCACGTCCACGTCCACGTTCACGTCCACGTCCACGTCCACGTCCATGTCCACGTCCACGTCCATGTCCACGTCCACGTCCACGTCCATGTCCACGTCCACGTCCACGTCCATGTCCACGTCCACGTCCACGTCTATGTCCACGTCCACGTCCACGTCCACGTCCACGTCCACGTCGACGTCCATGTCCACGTCCATGTCCACGTTTAGGTCCAAGTCCACGTCCATGTCCACGTCCACGTCTACGTCCACGTCCACGTCCACGTCCACGTCCATGTCCACGTCCACGTCCACCTCCACGTCCATGTCCATGTCCATGTCCACGTCCATGTCCACGTCCATCTCCATGTCCACGTCCACGTCCACGTCCACGTCCATTTCTACGTCCACGTCCACGTCTACGTCCACGTCCATGTCCACGTCCACGTCCACGTCCATTTCTACGTCCACGTCCACGTCCACGTCCATGTCCACGTCCATGTCCACGTCCACGTCCACGTCCACATCCACATCCACGTCCACGTCCACGTCCATGTCCAGGTCCACGTCCACGTCCACGTCCACGTCCACGTCTACGTCCACGTTGATGTCCACGTCCATGTCCACGTCCACGTCCACGTCCATGTCCACGTCTACGTCCACGTCCATGTCCACGTCCATGCTCGTCCACGTCCAAGTCCACGTCCACGTCCAAGTCCACGTCCATGTCCACGTCCATGTCCACGTCCACGTCCACGTCCACGTCCACGTCCATGTCCACGTCCACGTCAATGTCCACGTCCACGTCCATGTCCACGTCCATGTCCACGTCCATGTCCACGTCCACGTCCACGTCCATGTCCACGTCCACGTCCATGTCCACGTCCACGTCTACGTCCACGTCCATGTCCACGTCCACGTCCACGTCTACGTCCATGTCCACGTCCATGTCCACGTCCACGTCCAAGTCCACGTCCATGTCCACGTCCACGTCTACGTCCACGTCCATGTCCACGTCCACGTCCACGTCCATTTCTACGTCCACGTCCACGTCCACGTCCACGTCCACGTCCACGTCCATGTCCACGTCCACGTCCATGTCCACGTCCACGTCCACGTCGACGTCCACCTCCACGTCCATGTCCACGTCCACGTCCACGTCCATGTCCACGTCCACGTCCACGTCCACGTCCACGTCCACGTCTACGTCCACGTCCACATCCACGTCTACGTCCACGTCCACGTCCACGTCCACGTCCACGTCGACGTCCATGTCCACGTCCATGTCCACGTCCAGGTCCAAGTCCACGTCCATGTCCACGTCCATGTCCACGTCCATGTCCATGTCCAGGTCCAAGCCCACGTCCATGTCCACGTCCACGTCCACGTCCATGTCCACGTCCATGTCCACGTCCACGTCCACGTCCATGTCCAGGTCCACGTCCACGTCCACGTCCACGTCCACGTCCACGTCCACGTCCAGGTCCACGTCCACGTCCACGTCCATGTCCACGTCCACGTCCACGTCCACGTCTCGTCCACGTCCAAGTCCACGTCCACGTCCAAGTCCACGTCCATGTCCACGTCCATGTCCACGTCCACGTCCATGTCCACGTCCACGTCCATGTCCACGTCCACGTCCATGTCCACGTCCATGTCCACGTCCACGTCCATGTCCACGTCCACGTCCACGTCTACGTCCACGTCCATGTCCACGTCCATGTCCACGTCCACGTCCACGTCCACGTCCATGTCCACGTCCATGTCCATGTCCACGTCCACGTCCACGTCCACGTCCATGTCCACGTCCATGTCCACGTCCATGTCCACGTCCACGTCCATGTCCACGTCCATGTCCACGTCCACGTCCAAGTCCACGTCCATGTCCACGTCCACGTCTAAGTCCACGTCCACGTCCACGTCTACGTCCACGTCCATGTCCACGTCCACGTCCATGTCCATTTGTACGTCCACGTCCATGTCCACGTCCACGTCCATGTCCACGTCCACGTCCACGTCCATGTGCACGTCCACGTCCACGTCCATTTCTACGTCCTTGTCCATGTCCACGTCCACCTCCACGTCCACGTCCACGTCCACGTCCATTTCCAGGTCCACGTCCACGTCCATATCCACGTCCACGTCCACGTCCACGTCCATGTCCAGGTCCACGTCCACGTCCACGTCCACGTCTACGTCCACGTCCATGTCCACGTCCATGTCCACGTCCACGTCCACGTCCATATCCACGTCCACGTCCACGTCCATGTCCACGTCCACGTCTCGTCCACGTCCAAGTCCACGTCCACGTCCAAGTCCACGTCCATGTCCACGTCCATGTCCACGTCCACGTCCACGTCCACGTCCACGTCCATGTCCACGTCCACGTCCATGTCCACGTCCATGTCCACGTCCATGTCCACGTCCATGTCCACGTCCACGTCCACGTCCATGTCCACGTCCACGTCCACGTCCACGTCCACGTCCACGTCCATGTCCACGTCCACGTCTACGTCCATGTCCACGTTCATGTCCACGTCCACGTCCAAGTCCACGTCCATGTCCACGTCCACGTCTACGTCCACGTCCATGTCCACGTCCACGTCCATTTCTACGTCCACGTCCACGTCCACGTCCACGTCCACGTCCACGTCCATGTCCACGTCCACGTCCATGTCCACGTCCACGTCCACGTCGACGTCCACCTCCACGTCCATGTCCACGTCCACGTCCATGTCCATGTCCACGTCCACGTCCACGTCCACGTCCACTTCCACGTCCACGTTTACGTCCACGTCCACGTCCACGTCTACGTCCACGTCCACGTCCACGTCCACGTCCACGTCTACGTCCACGTCCACGTCCACGTCCATGTCCACGTCCACGTCCACGTCCACGTCCAGGTCCACGTCCACGTCCACGTCCATGTCTACGTCCACGTCCACGTCCACGTCAACGTCCACGTCCACGTCCAGGTCTACGTCCACGTCCATGTCCACGTCCACGTCCACGTCCATCTCCACGTCCATGTCCACGTCCACGTCCACGTCCACGTCCACGTCTACGTCCACGTCCACGTCCACGTGCACGTGCACGTGCACGTCCACGTCCACGTCCACGTCCACGTCCACGTCCACGTCCATGTCCACGTCCACGTCCATGTCCACGTCCACGTCCATGTCCACCTCCACGTCCATGTCCACGTCCACGTCCACGTCCACGTCCACGTCCAAGTCCACGTCCATGTCCACGTCCACGTCCACGTTCACGTCCACGTCCACGTCCACGTCCATGTCCACGTCCACGTCCATGTCCACGTCCACGTCCACGTCCATGTCCACGTCCACGTCCATGTCCACGTCCACGTCCACGTCCACGTCCATGTCCACGTCCACGTCCACGTCCACGTCCACGTCCACGTCGACGTCCATGTCCACGTCCATGTCCACGTCCAGGTCCAAGTCCACGTCCATGTCCACGTCCACGTCTACGTCCACGTCCACGTCCACGTCCATGTCCACGTCCACGTCCACGTCCACCTCCATGTCCATGTCCACGTCCATGTCCACGTCCACGTCCACGTCCATGTCCATGTCCACGTCCACGTCCACGTCCACGTCCATTTCTACGTCCACGTCCACGTCCACGTCTACGTCCACGTCCATGTCCACGTCCACGTCCACGTCCATTTCTACGTCCACGTCCACGTCCACGTCCATGTCCACGTCCATGTCCACGTCCACGTCCACGTCCACGTCCATTTCTACGTCCACGTCCACGTCCACGTCCATGTCCACGTCCATGTCCACGTTCATGTCCACGTCCACGTCCACGTCCATGTCCACGTCCACGTCCATGTCCACGTCCACGTCCACGTCCATGTCCACGTCCACGTCCACGTCTACGTCCATGTCCACGTCCATGTCCACGTCCACGTCCAAGTCCACGTCCATGTCCACGTCCACGTCTACGTCCACGTCCATGTCCACGTCCACGGCCACGTCCATTTCTACGTCCACGTCCACGTCCACGTCTACGTCCACGTCCACGTCCACGTCTACGTCCACGTCCACGTCCACGTCCACGTCCATGTCCACGTCCACGTCCACGTCCACCTCCACGTCCATGTCCATGTCCATGTCCACGTCCATGTCCACGTCCATCTCCATGTCCACGTCCACGTCCACGTCCACGTCCATTTCTACGTCCACGTCCACGTCTACGTCCACGTCCATGTCCACGTCCACGTCCACGTCCATTTCTACGTCCACGTCCACGTCCACGTCCATGTCCACGTCCATGTCCACGTCCACGTCCACGTCCACATCCACATCCACGTCCACGTCCACGTCCATGTCCAGGTCCACGTCCACGTCCACGTCCACGTCCACGTCTACGTCCACGTTGATGTCCACGTCCATGTCCACGTCCACGTCCACGTCCATGTCCACGTCTACGTCCACGTCCATGTCCACGTCCATGCTCGTCCACGTCCAAGTCCACGTCCACGTCCAAGTCCACGTCCATGTCCACGTCCATGTCCACGTCCACGTCCACGTCCACGTCCATGTCCACGTCCACGTCCATGTCCACGTCCACGTCTACGTCCACGTCCATGTCCACGTCCACGTCCACGTCTACGTCCATGTCCACGTCCATGTCCACGTCCACGTCCAAGTCCACGTCCATGTCCACGTCCACGTCTACGTCCACGTCCATGTCCACGTCCACGTCCACGTCCATTTCTACGTCCACGTCCACGTCCACGTCCACGTCCACGTCCACGTCCATGTCCACGTCCACGTCCATGTCCACGTCCACGTCCACGTCGACGTCCACCTCCACGTCCATGTCCACGTCCACGTCCACGTCCATGTCCACGTCCACGTCCACGTCCACGTCCACGTCTACGTCCACGTCCACATCTACGTCTACGTCCACGTCCACGTCCACGTCCACGTCCACGTCCACGTCGACGTCCATGTCCACGTCCATGTCCACGTCCAGGTCCAAGTCCACGTCCATGTCCACGTCCATGTCCACGTCCATGTCCATGTCCAGGTCCAAGCCCACGTCCATGTCCACGTCCACGTCCACGTCCATGTCCACGTCCATGTCCACGTCCACGTCCACGTCCATGTCCAGGTCCACGTCCACGTCCACGTCCACGTCCACGTCCACGTCCAGGTCCACGTCCACGTCCACGTCCATGTCCACGTCCACGTCCACGTCCACGTCTCGTCCACGTCCAAGTCCACGTCCACGTCCAAGTCCACGTCCATGTCCACGTCCCTGTCCACGTCCACGTCCATGTCCACATCCACGTCCATGTCCACGTCCACGTCCATGTCCACGTCCATGTCCACGTCCACGTCCATGTCCACGTCCACGTCCACGTCCACGTCCACGTCCATGTCCACGTCCATGTCCACGTCCACGTCAATGTCCACGTCCACGTCCATGTCCACGTCCATGTCCACGTCCATGTCCACGTCCACGTCCACGTCCATGTCCACGTCCACGTCCATGTCCACGTCCACGTCTACGTCCACGTCCATGTCCACGTCCACGTCCACGTCTACGTCCATGTCCACGTCCCTGTCCACGTCCACGTCCAAGTCCACGTCCATGTCCACGTCCACGTCTACGTCCACGTCCATGTCCACGTCCACGTCCACGTCCATTTCTACGTCCACGTCCACGTCCACGTCCACGTCCACGTCCACGTCCATGTCCACGTCCACGTCCATGTCTACGTCCACGTCCACGTCGACGTCCACCTCCACGTCCATGTCCACGTCCACGTCCACGTCCATGTCCACGTCCACGTCCACGTCCACGTCCACGTCCACGTCTACGTCCACGTCCACATCCACGTCTACGTCCACGTCCACGTCCACGTCCACGTCCACGTCGACGTCCATGTCCACGTCCATGTCCACGTCCAGGTCCAAGTCCACGTCCATGTCCACGTCCATGTCCACGTCCATGTCCATGTCCAGGTCCAAGCCCATGTCCATGTCCACGTCCACGTCCACGTCCATGTCCACGTCCATGTCCACGTCCACGTCCACGTCCAGGTCCACGTCCACGTCCACGTCCACGTCCACGTCCACGTCCACGTCCAGGTCCACGTCCACGTCCACGTCCATGTCCACGTCCACGTCCACGTCCACGTCTCGTCCACGTCCAAGTCCACGTCCACGTCCAAGTCCACGTCCATGTCCACGTCCATGTCCACGTCCACGTCCATGTCCACGTCCACGTCCATGTCCACGTCCACGTCCATGTCCACGTCCATGTCCACGTCCACGTCCATGTCCACGTCCACGTCCACGTCCACGTCCACGTCCATGTCCACGTCCATGTCCACGTCCACGTCCACGTCCACGTCCATGTCCACGTCCATGTCCATGTCCACGTCCACGTCCACGTCCATGTCCACGTCCATGTCCACGTCCATGTCCACGTCCACGTCCATGTCCACGTCCATGTCCACGTCCACGTCCAAGTCCACGTCCATGTCCACGTCCACGTCTAAGTCCACGTCCACGTCCACGTCTACGTCCACGTCCATGTCCACGTCCACGTCCATGTCCATTTGTACGTCCACGTCCATGTCCACGTCCACGTCCATGTCCACGTCCACGTCCACGTCCATGTGCACGTCCACGTCCACGTCCATTTCTACGTCCTTGTCCATGTCCACGTCCACCTCCACGTCCACGTCCACGTCCACGTCCATTTCCAGGTCCACGTCCACGTCCATATCCACGTCCACGTCCACGTCCACGTCCATGTCCAGGTCCACGTCCACGTCCACGTCCACGTCCACGTCTACATCCACGTCCATGTCCACGTCCATGTCCACGTCCACGTCCACGTCCATATCCACGTCCACGTTCACGTCCATGTCCACGTCCACGTCTCGTCCACGTCCAAGTCCACGTCCACGTCCAAGTCCACGTCCATGTCCACGTCCATGTCCACGTCCACGTCCACGTCCACGTCCATGTCCACGTCCACGTCCATGTCCACGTCCATGTCCACGTCCATGTCCACGTCCATGTCCACGTCCATTTCTACGTCCACGTCCACGTCTACGTCCACGTCCATGTCCACGTCCACGTCCACGTCCATTTCTACGTCCACGTCCACGTCCACGTCCATGTCCACGTCCATGTCCACGTCCACGTCCACGTCCACATCCACATCCACGTCCACGTCCACGTCCATGTCCAGGTCCACGTCCACGTCCACGTCCACGTCCACGTCTACGTCCACGTTGATGTCCACGTCCATGTCCACGTCCACGTCCACGTCCATGTCCACGTCTACGTCCACGTCCATGTCCACGTCCATGCTCGTCCACGTCCAAGTCCACGTCCACGTCCAAGTCCACGTCCATGTCCACGTCCATGTCCACGTCCACGTCCACGTCCACGTCCATGTCCACGTCCACGTCCATGTCCACGTCCACGTCTACGTCCACGTCCATGTCCACGTCCACGTCCACGTCTACGTCCATGTCCACGTCCATGTCCACGTCCACGTCCAAGTCCACGTCCATGTCCACGTCCACGTCTACGTCCACGTCCATGTCCACGTCCACGTCCACGTCCATTTCTACGTCCACGTCCACGTCCACGTCCACGTCCACGTCCACGTCCATGTCCACGTCCACGTCCATGTCCACGTCCACGTCCACGTCGACGTCCACCTCCACGTCCATGTCCACGTCCACGTCCACGTCCATGTCCACGTCCACGTCCACGTCCACGTCCACGTCTACGTCCACGTCCACATCTACGTCTACGTCCACGTCCACGTCCACGTCCACGTCCACGTCCACGTCGACGTCCATGTCCACGTCCATGTCCACGTCCAGGTCCAAGTCCACGTCCATGTCCACGTCCATGTCCACGTCCATGTCCATGTCCAGGTCCAAGCCCACGTCCATGTCCACGTCCACGTCCACGTCCATGTCCACGTCCATGTCCACGTCCACGTCCACGTCCATGTCCAGGTCCACGTCCACGTCCACGTCCACGTCCACGTCCACGTCTAGGTCCACGTCCACGTCCACGTCCATGTCCACGTCCACGTCCACGTCCACGTCTCGTCCACGTCCAAGTCCACGTCCACGTCCAAGTCCACGTCCATGTCCACGTCCCTGTCCACGTCCACGTCCATGTCCACATCCACGTCCATGTCCACGTCCACGTCCATGTCCACGTCCATGTCCACGTCCACGTCCATGTCCACGTCCACGTCCACGTCCACGTCCACGTCCATGTCCACGTCCATGTCCACGTCCACGTCAATGTCCACGTCCACGTCCATGTCCACGTCCATGTCCACGTCCATGTCCACGTCCACGTCCACGTCCATGTCCACGTCCACGTCCATGTCCACGTCCACGTCTACGTCCACGTCCATGTCCACGTCCACGTCCACGTCTACGTCCATGTCCACGTCCCTGTCCACGTCCACGTCCAAGTCCACGTCCATGTCCACGTCCACGTCTACGTCCACGTCCATGTCCACGTCCACGTCCACGTCCATTTCTACGTCCACGTCCACGTCCACGTCCACGTCCACGTCCACGTCCATGTCCACGTCCACGTCCATGTCTACGTCCACGTCCACGTCGACGTCCACCTCCACGTCCATGTCCACGTCCACGTCCACGTCCATGTCCACGTCCACGTCCACGTCCACGTCCACGTCCACGTCTACGTCCACGTCCACATCCACGTCTACGTCCACGTCCACGTCCACGTCCACGTCCACGTCCACGTCGACGTCCATGTCCACGTCCATGTCCACGTCCAGGTCCAAGTCCACGTCCATGTCCACGTCCATGTCCACGTCCATGTCCATGTCCAGGTCCAAGCCCACGTCCATGTCCACGTCCACGTCCACGTCCATGTCCACGTCCATGTCCACGTCCACGTCCACGTCCAGGTCCACGTCCACGTCCACGTCCACGTCCACGTCCACGTCCACGTCCAGGTCCACGTCCACGTCCACGTCCATGTCCACGTCCACGTCCACGTCCACGTCTCGTCCACGTCCAAGTCCACGTCCACGTCCAAGTCCACGTCCATGTCCACGTCCATGTCCACGTCCACGTCCATGTCCACGTCCACGTCCATGTCCACGTCCACGTCCATGTCCACGTCCATGTCCACGTCCACGTCCATGTCCACGTCCACGTCCACGTCCACGTCCACGTCCATGTCCACGTCCATGTCCACGTCCACGTCCACGTCCACGTCCATGTCCACGTCCATGTCCATGTCCACGTCCACGTCCACGTCCACGTCCATGTCCACGTCCATGTCCACGTCCATGTCCACGTCCACGTCCATGTCCACGTCCATGTCCACGTCCACGTCCAAGTCCACGTCCATGTCCACGTCCACGTCTAAGTCCACGTCCACGTCCACGTCTACGTCCACGTCCATGTCCACGTCCACGTCCATGTCCATTTGTACGTCCACGTCCATGTCCACGTCCACGTCCATGTCCACGTCCACGTCCACGTCCATGTGCACGTCCACGTCCACGTCCATTTCTACGTCCTTGTCCATGTCCACGTCCACCTCCACGTCCACGTCCACGTCCACGTCCATTTCCAGGTCCACGTCCACGTCCATATCCACGTCCACGTCCACGTCCACGTCCATGTCCAGGTCCACGTCCACGTCCACGTCCACGTCCACGTCTACATCCACGTCCATGTCCACGTCCATGTCCACGTCCACGTCCACGTCCATATCCACGTCCACGTTCACGTCCATGTCCACGTCCACGTCTCGTCCACGTCCAAGTCCACGTCCACGTCCAAGTCCACGTCCATGTCCACGTCCATGTCCACGTCCACGTCCACGTCCACGTCCATGTCCACGTCCACGTCCATGTCCCGTCCATGTCCACGTCCATGTCCACGTCCATGTCCACGTCCACGTCCACGTCCATGTCCACGTCCACGTCCACGTCCACGTCCACGTCCATGTCCACGTCCACGTCTACGTCCATGTCCACGTCCATGTCCACGTCCAAGTCCACGTCCATGTCCACGTCCACGTCTACGTCCACGTCCATGTCCACGTCCACGTCCATTTCTACGTCCACGTCCACGTCCACGTCCACGTCCACGTCCATGTCCACGTCCACGTCCATGTCCACGTCCACGTACACCCCTACGTCCACGTCGACGTCCACCTCCACGTCCATGTCCACGTCCACGTCCATGTCCATGTCCACGTCCACGTCCACGTCCACGTCCACTTCCACGTCCACGTTTACGTCCACGTCCACGTCCACGTCTACGTCCACGTCCACGTCCACGTCCACGTCTACGTCCACGTCCACGTCCATGTCCACGTCCACGTCCACGTCCACGTCCAGGTCCACGTCCACGTCCACGTCCACGTCCATGTCTACGTCCACGTCCACGTCCACGTCAACGTCCACGTCCACGTCCAGGTCTACGTCCACGTCCATGTCCACGTCCACGTCCACGTCCATCTCCACGTCCATGTCCACGTCCACGTCCACGTCCACGTCCACGTCTACGTCCACGTCCACGTCCACGTCCACGTGCACGTGCACGTCCACGTCCACGTCCACGTCCACGTCCATGTCCACGTCCACGTCCATGTCCACGTCCACGTCCATGTCCACGTCCACGTCCATGTCCACGTCCACGTCCATGTCCACGTCCACGTCCACGTCCACGTCCACGTCCAAGTCCACGTCCATGTCCACGTCCACGTCCACGTTCACGTCCACGTCCACGTCCACGTCCATGTCCACGTCCACGTCCATGTCCACGTCCACGTCCACGTCCATGTCCACGTCCACGTCCATGTCCACGTCCACGTCCACGTCCACGTCCATGTCCACGTCCACGTCCACGTCCACGTCCACGTCCACGTCGACGTCCATGTCCACGTCCATGTCCACGTCCAGGTCCAAGTCCACGTCCATGTCCACGTCCACGTCTACGTCCACGTCCACGTCCACGTCCACGTCCATGTCCACGTCCACGTCCACGTCCACCTCCATGTCCATGTCCACGTCCATGTCCACGTCCACGTCCACGTCCATGTCCATGTCCACGTCCACGTCCACGTCCACGTCCATTTCTACGTCCACGTCCACGTCCACGTCTACGTCCACGTCCATGTCCACGTCCACGTCCACGTCCATTTCTACGTCCACGTCCACGTCCACGTCCATGTCCACGTCCATGTCCACGTCCACGTCCACGTCCATGTCCATTTCTACGTCCACGTCCACGTCCACGTCCATGTCCACGTCCATGTCCACGTTCATGTCCACGTCCACGTCCACGTCCATGTCCACGTTCACGTCCATGTCCACGTCCACGTCCACGTCCATGTCCACGTCCACGTCCACGTCTACGTCCATGTCCACGTCCATGTCCACGTCCACGTCCAAGTCCACGTCCATGTCCACGTCCACGTCTACGTCCACGTCCATGTCCACGTCCACGTCCACGTCCATTTCTACGTCCACGTCCACGTCCACGTCCACGTCCATGTCCACGTCCACGTCCATGTCCACGTCCACGTCCACGTCCACGTCCACCTCCACGTCCATAACTACGTCCACGTCCACGTCCATAACTACGTCCACGTCCACGTCCACGTCCATGTCCACGTCCACGTCCACGTCCACGTCCATGTCCACGTCCACGTCCACGTCCACGTCCACGTCCACGTCCATTTCTACGTCCACGTCCACGTCCATGTCCACGTCCACGTCCACGTCCATTTCTACGTCCACGTCCACGTCCACGTCCACGTCCATGTCCACGTCCACGTCCACGTCCACCTCCACGTCCATGTCCACGTCCACGTCCACGTCCATGTCCACGTCCACGTCCACGTCCACGTCCACGTCCATGTCCACCTCTACGTCCACGTCCACGTCCAGGTCCACGTCCACGTCCACGTCCACGTCCATGTCTACGTCCACGTCCACGTCCACGTCCACGTCCACGTCCACGTCCACGTCCAGGTCCACGTCCACGTCCATGTCCACGTCCACGTCCACGTCCACGTCCACGTCCATGTCCACGTCCACGTCCACGTCCACGTCCACGTCCACGTCCACGTCCACGTCCACGTCCACGTCCATGTCCACGTCCACGTCCATGTCCACGTCCACGTCCATGTCCACGTCCACGTCCATGTCCACGTCCACGTCCACGTCCATGTCCACGTCCACGTCCACGTCCATGTCCACGTCCACGTCCACGTCTACGTCCACGTCCACGTCCATGTCCACGTCCACGTCCAAGTCCACGTCCATGTCCACGTCCATGTCGAAGACCACGTCCACGTCCACGTCCACGTCCACGTCCACGTCCATGTCCACGTCCACGTCCATGTCCACGTCCACGTCCATGTCCACGTCCATGTCCACGTCCATGTCCACGTCCACGTCCATGTCCACGTCCACGTCCACGTCCACGTCCATGTCCACGTCCACGTCCACGTCCACGTCCACGTCCACGTCGACGTCCATGTCCACGTCCATGTCCACGTTTAGGTCCAAGTCCACGTCCATGTCCACGTCCACGTCTACGTCCACGTCCACGTCCACGTCCACGTCCATGTCCACGTCCACGTCCACGTCCACATCCACCTCCACGTCCATGTCCATGTCCATGTCCACGTCCACGTCCACGTCCATGTCCATGTCCACGTCCACGTCCACGTCCACGTCCATTTCTACGTCCACGTCCACGTCTACGTCCACGTCCATGTCCACGTCCACGTCCACGTCCATTTCTACGTCCACGTCCACGTCCACGTCCATGTCCACGTCCATGTCCACGTCCACGTCCACGTCCACGTCCATTTCTACGTCCACGTCCACGTCCACGTCCATGTCCACGTCCACGTCCACGTCCATGTCCACGTCCACGTCCACGTCCACGTCCACGTCTACGTCCACGTCCACCTCCACGTCTACGTCCACGTCCATGTCCACGTCCACGTCCACGTCCATTTCTACGTCCACGTCCATGTCCACGTCCACGTCCATGTCCACGTCCACGTCCACGTCCACGTCCATTTCTACGTCCACGTCCACGTCCACGTCCATGTCCACGTCCACGTCCACGTCCACGTCCACCTCCATGTCCATGTCCACGTCCATGTCCACGTCCACGTCCACGTCCATGTCCATGTCCACGTCCACGTCCATGTCCACGTCCATTTCTACGTCCACGTCCACGTCCACGTCTACGTCCACATCCACGTCCATTTCTACGTCCACGTCCATTTCTACGTCCACGTCCACGTCCACGTCCATGTCCACGTCCATGTCCACGTCCACGTCCACGTCCACGTCCATTTCTACGTCCACGTCCACGTCCACGTCCATGTCCACGTCCATGTCCACGTCCACGTCCACGTCCACGTCCACGTCCACGTCTACGTCCACGTCCATGTCTACGTCCACGTCCACGTCCATTTCTACGTCCATGTCCATGTCCACGTCCACGTCCATCTCGACTTCCACGTCCATGTCCACATCCACGTCCATGTCCACGTCCACGTCCACGTCCATGTCCACGTCCACGTCCACGTCCACGTCCACGTCCATGTCCACGTCCACGTCCACGTCTATGTCCATGTCCACGTCCACGTCCATGTCCACGTCCACGTCCAAGTCCACGTCCATGTCCACGTCCATGTCCACGTCCACGTCCACGTCCACGTCCACGTCCACGTCCACGTCCATGTCCACGTCCACCTCCACGTCCACGTCCACGTCCACGTCCACGTCCAAGTCCACGTCCACGTCCACGTCCACGTCCATGTCCACGTCCATGTCCACGTCCATGTCCACGTCCACGTCTACGTCCACGTCCATGTCCACGTCCATGTCCACGTCCACGTCCACGTCCACGTCCATGTCCACGTCCACGTCCACGTCCAAGTCCACGTCCACGTCCACGGTGGACGTGGACGTGGACGTGGACGTGGACATGGACGTGGAGGACGTGGACGTGGTCATGGACGTGGACGTGGACAGGGACGTGGACGTGACGTGGATGTGGACATGGACGTGGACGTGGACGTGGACGTGGACGTGGACGTGGACATAGACGTGGATGTGGACGTGGACGTGGACGTGGACGTGGACGTGGACATGAACGTGGACGTGGACATGGACGTGGACGTGGACGTGGACGTAGACGTGGAGGTGGACGTGGAGGTGGAGGTGGACATGGACGTGGACATGGACGTCGACATGGACGTGGACGTGGACGTGGACGTGGACATGGACGTGGACATGGACGTGGACGTGGACGTGGACGTGGACGTGGACGTGGACGTAGAAATGGACGTGGACGTGGACGTGGAGGTGGACGTGGACGTGGACGTGGACCTGGAGGTGGACGTGGACATGGACGTCGACATGGACGTCGACATGGACGTGGACATGGACGTGGACGTGGACGTGGACGTGGACGTGGACGTGGACATGGACGTGGACATGGACGTGGACGTGGACGTGGACGTGGACATGGACGTGGACGTGGACATGGACGTGGACATGGACGTGCACGTGGACATGGACGTTGACGTGGACGTGGACGTGGACGTGGACCACGTGGACGTGGACGTGGACATGGACGTGGACGTGGACGTGGACGTGGACGTGGACGTGGACGTGCACATGGACGTGGAAGACGTGGACGTGGACATGGACGTGGACGTGGACAGGGATGTGGACGTGGAGGTGGACGTGGACGTGGACGTGGAGGTGGACGTGGAGGTGGACGTGGACATGGACGTGGACATGGAGGTGGACGTGGACATGGACGTGGACGTGGACATGGACGTGGACGTGGAGGTGGATGTGGACATGGACGTGGACGTGGATGTGGACGTGGACATGGACGTGGATGTGGACGTGGACATGGACGTGGACATGGACGTGGACGTGGACGTGGACATGGACATGGACGTGGACGTGGACGTGGACATGGACGTGGACGTGGACATGGACGTCGACATGGACGTGCACGTGGACATGGACGTGGACGTGGACGTGGACGTGGACCACGTGGACGTGGACCACGTGGACGTGGACGTGGACCACGTGGACGTGGACGTGGACATGGACGTGGACATGGATGTGCACGTGGACGTGGACGTGGACATGGACGTGGACGTGGAGGTGCACGTGGACGTGGAGGTGCACGTGGACATGGACGTGGACGTGGACGTGGATGTGGACGTGGACGTGGACATGGACGTGGACGTGGACATGGACGTGGACGTGGACATCGACGTGGACGTGGACGTGGACGTGGACATGGACGTGGAGGACGTGGACGTGGACATGGACGTGGACGTGGACAGGGACGTGGACGTGGAGGTGGACGTGGAGATGGACGTGGACGTGGACATGGACGTGGACGTGGACGTGGACGTAGACGTGGAGGTGGACGTGGAGGTGGAGGTGGACATGGACGTGGACATGGACGTCGACATGGACGTGGACGTGGACGTGGACGTGGACATGGACGTGGACATGGACGTGGACGTGGACGTGGACGTAGAAATGGACGTGGACGTGGAGGTGGACGTGGACGTGGACGTGGACGTGGAGGTGGACGTGGACATGGACGTCGACATGGACGTCGACATGGACGTGGACATGGACGTGGACGTGGACGTGGACGTGGACGTGGACATGGACGTGGACATGGACGTGGACGTGGACGTGGACATGGACATGGACGTGGACGTGGACATGGACGTGGACATGGACGTGCACGTGGACATGGACGTGGACGTGGACGTGGACGTGGACGTGGACCACGTGGACGTGGACGTGGACATGGATGTGGACGTGGACGTGGACGTGGACGTGGACGTGCACATGGACGTGGAGGACGTGGACGTGGACATGGACGTGGACGTGGACAGGGACGTGGACGTGGAGGTGGACGTGGACGTGGACGTGGAGGTGGACGTGGAGGTGGACGTGGACATGGACGTGGACATGGAGGTGGACGTGGACATGGACGTGGACGTGGACATGGACGTGGACGTGGAGGTGGATGTGGACATGGACGTGGACGTGGACGTGGACGTGGACATGGACGTGGACGTGGACGTGGACATGGACGTGGACATGGACGTGGACGTGGACGTGGACATGGACATGGACGTGGACGTGGACGTGGACATGGACGTGGACGTGGACATGGACGTCGACATGGACGTGCACGTGGACATGGACGTGGACGTGGACGTGGACGTGGACGTGGACCACGTGGACGTGGACCACGTGGACGTGGACGTGGACCACGTGGACGTGGACGTGGACATGGACGTGGACATGGACGTGCACGTGGACGTGGACGTGGACATGGACGTGGACGTGGAGGTGCACGTGGACGTGGAGGTGCACGTGGACATGGACGTGGACGTGGACGTGGACCTGGACGTGGATGTGGACGTGGATGTGGACGTGGACGTGGACATGGACGTGGACGTGGACATGGACGTGGACGTGGACATGGACGTGGACGTGGACGTGGACGTGGACATGGACGTGGAGGACGTGGACGTGGACATGGACGTGGACGTGGACAGGGACGTGGACGTGGACGTGGAGGTGGACGTGGAGATGGACGTGGACATGGACGTGGACGTGGACGTGGATGTGGACGTGGACGTGGACATGGACGTGGACGTGGACCTGGACGTGGACGTGGACTTGGACGTGGACGTGGACGTGGACGTGGACGTAGACATGGACGTAGACATGGACGTGGACGTGGACGTGGACGTGGACGTGGACGTAGACATGGACGTGGACATGGACGTGGACGTGGACAGGGACGTGGACGTGGACGTGGACATGGACGTGGACGTGGACGTGGACGTGGACGTGGACGTGGACATGGACGTGGACGTGGACATGGACGTGGACGTGGACGTGGACGTGGACGTGGACATGGACGTGGACGTGGACAGGGACGTGGACGTGGACATGGACGTGGACGTGGACATGGACGTGGACGTGGACGTGGACGTGGACGTGGACGTGGAGGTGGACGTGGAGGTGGAGGTGGACATGGACGTGGACATGGACGTCGACATGGACATGGACGTGGACGTGGACGTGGACGTGGACATGGACGTGGACATGGACGTGGACGTGGACGTAGAGGTCGACGTGGAGGTGGACGTGGACGTGGACGTGGAGGTGGACGTGGAGGTGGACGTGGACATGGACGTCGACATGGACGTGGACATGGACGTGGACGTGGACGTGGACGTGGACGTGGACATGGACGTGGACGTGGACTTGGACGTGGACGTGGACGTGGACATGGACGTGGACGTGGACGTGGACATGGACGTGGACGTGGACGTGGACGTGGACGTGGACGTGGACATGGACGTGGACATGGACATGGACATGGACGTGGACATGGACGTGGACATGGACGTGGACATGGACGTCGACATGGACGTGGACATGGACGTGGACGTGGACGTGGACGTGGACGTGGACGTGGACATGGACGTGGACTTGGACGTGGACGTGGACGTGGACGTGGACGTGGACGTGGACATGGACGTGGACTTGGACGTGGACGTGGACGTGGACATGGACGTAGACATGGACGTGGACGTGGACGTGGACATGGACGTGGACGTGGACGTGGACGTAGACGTGGAGGTGGAGGTGGAGGTGGACGTGGACATGGACGTCGACATGGACTTGGACGTGTGGACGTGGACGTGGACGTGGACGTGGACGTGGACGTGGACGTGGACGTGGACGTGGACGTGGACGTGGACGTGGACGTGGACGTGGACGTGGAGGTGGACGTGGACGTGGAGGTGGACGTGGACGTGGACGTGGAGGTGGACGTGGAGGTGGACGTGGAGGTGGACGTGGAGGTGGACGTGGACGTGGACGTGGACGTGGACGTGGAGGTGGACGTGGAGGTGGACGTGGAGGTCGACGTGGAGGTGGACGTGGACGTGGACCTGGACGTGGACATGGACGTGGACTTGGACGTGGACGTGGACGTGGACGTGGACATGGACGTCGACATGGACGTGGACGTGGACGTGGACGTGGAGGTGGACGTGGAGGTGGACGTGGAGGTGGACCTGGACGTGGAGGTGGACGTGGACGTGGAGGTGGAGATGGACGTGGAGGTGGACGTGGACGTGGAGGTGGACGTGGACGTGGAGGTGGACGTGGACGTGGAGGTGGACGTGGACGTGGAGGTGGACGTAGACGTGGAGGTGGACGTGGACGTGGACGTGGACGTGGACGTGGACGTGGACGTGGACATGGACGTGAACGTGGACGTGGACGTGGACGTGGACGTGGACGTGGACATGGACGTGGACATGGACGTGGACGTGGACGTGGACGTGGACGTGGACGTGGAGGTGGACGTGGACGTGGACGTGGACGTGGAGGTGGACGTGGACGTGGAGGTGGACGTGGACGTGGACGTGGAGGTGAACCTGGACGTGGAGGTGGACGTGGACGTGGAGGTGGAGATGGACGTGGAGGTGGACGTGGACGTGGAGGTGGACGTGGACGTGGAGGTGGACGTGGACGTGGAGGTGGACGTGGACGTCGAGGTGGACGTGGACGTGGAGGTGGACGTGGACGTGGACATGGAGGTGGACGTGGACGTGGACGTGGACGTGGACATGGACGTGGACGTGGACGTGGACATGGACGTGGACGTGGACATGGACGTGGACATGGACATGGACATGGACGTGGACATCGACGTGGACATGGACGTGGACATGGACGTCGACATGGACGTGGACATGGACGTGGACGTGGACGTGGACGTTGACGTGGACGTGGACGTGGACGTGGACATGGACGTGGACTTGGACGTGGACGTGGACATGGACGAAGACATGGACGTGGCCGTGGACGTGGACTTGGACGTGGACGTGGACGTGGACGTGGACATGGACGTGGACATGGACGTGGCCTTGGACGTGGACGTGGACGTGGACGTGGACATGGACGTAGACATGGACGTGGACGTGGACGTGGACATGGACGTGGACGTGGACGTGGACGTGGACGTGAACGTAGACGTGGAGGTGGAGGTGGAGGTGGACGTGGACATGGACGTCGACATGGACGTGGACGTGTGGACGTGGACGTGGACGTGGTTGTGGACGTGGACGTGGACGTGGACGTGGACGTGGACGTGGACGTGGACGTGGACGTGGACGTGGAGGTGGACGTGGACGTGGACGTGGACGTGGACGTGGAGGTGGACGTGGAGGTGGACGTAGACGTGGACGTGGACGTGGAGGTGGACGTGGAGGTGGACGTGGAGGTGGACGTGGACATGGACGTGGGCGTGGACGTGGACATGGACGTGGACGTGGACGTGGACGTGGACGTGGACGTGGACGTGGATATGGACGTGGACTTGGACGTGGACGTGGACATGGACGAAGACATGGACGTGGCCGTGGACGTGGACTTGGACGTGGACGTGGACGTGGACGTGGACATGGACGTGGACATGGACGTGGCCTTGGACGTGGACGTGGACGTGGACGTGGACATGGACGTAGACATGGACGTGGACGTGGACGTGGACATGGACGTGGACGTGGACGTGGACGTGGACGTGGACGTAGACGTGGAGGTGGAGGTGGAGGTGGACGTAGACATGGACGTCGACATGGACGTGGACGTGGACGTGTGGACGTGGACGTGGACGTGGACGTGGACGTGGACGTGGACGTGGACGTGGACGTGGACGTGGACGTGGACGTGGACGTGGACGTGGACATGGACGTGGACGTGGACGTGGACGTGGACGTGGAGGTGGACGTGGACGTGGACGTGGACGTGGACGTGGAGGTGGACGTGGAGGTGGACGTGGACGTGGAGGTGGACGTGGAGGTGGACGTGGAGGTGGACGTGGAGGTGGACGTAGACGTGGAGGTGGACGTGGAGGTGGACGTGGAGGTGGATGTAGACATGGAGGTGGACGTGGAGGTGGACGTGGGCGTGGACGTGGGCGTGGACGTGGACATGGACGTCGACATGGACGTGGACGTGTGGACGTGGACGTGGACGTGGACGTGGACGTGGACGTGGACGTGGACGTGGACGTGGACGTGGACTTGGACGTGGACGTGGACGTGGACGTGGAGGTGGACGTGGACGTGGACGTGGACGTGGAGGTGGACGTGGAGGTGGACGTGGGCGTGGACGTGGGCGTGGAGGTGGACATGGACGTCGACATGGACGTGGACGTGGGCGTGGACGTGGACGTGGACGTGGACGTGGACGTGGACGTGTGGACTTGGACGTGGACGTGGACGTGGACGTGGACGTGGACGTGGACGTGGACATGGACGTGGACATGGACGTGGACGTGGACGTGGACGTGGACGTGGACGTGGACGTGGACGTGGAGGTGGACGTGAACGTGGAGGTGAACGTGGAGGTGGAGGTGGAGGTGGAGGTGGACGTGGAGGTGGACGTGGAGGTGGACGTGGACGTGGAGGTGGACGTGGACGTGGAGGTGGACGTGGAGGTGGACGTGGACGTGGAGGTGGACGTGGACGTGGAGGTGGACGTGGACGTGGAGGTGGACGTGGACGTGGAGGTGGACATGGACGTGGACGTGGAGGTGGACGTGGAGGTGGACGTGGACGTGGACGTGGACGTGGACGTGGACGTGGACGTGGACGTGGAGGTGGACGTGGAGGTGGACGTGGAGGTGGACGTGGAGGTGGACGTGGAGGTGGACGTGGAGGTGGACGTGGAGGTGGACGTGGAGGTGGACGTGGACGTGGACGTGGACGTGGACGTGGAGGTGGACGTGGACGTGGACGTGGACGTGGAGGTGGACGTGGACGTGGACGAGGACGTGGACGTGGACGAGGACGTGGACGTGGACTTGGACGTGGACGTGGACGTGGACGTGGACGTGGACATGGACGTGGACGTGGACGTGGACGTGGACGTGGACGTGGACATGGACGTGGACGTGGACGTGGACATGGACGTGGACGTGGACATGTACGTGAACATGGACGTGGACGTGGACGTGGACGTGGACGTGGACGTAGACGTGGACGTGGACATGGACGTGGACGTGGACGTGGACGTGGACGACGTGGACATGGACGTGGACGTGGACGTGGACGTGGACGTGGACGTGGACGTGGACGTGGACGTAGACGTGGACGTGGACATGGACGTGGACGTGGACGTGGACGTGGACGTGGACGTGGACGTGGACATGGACGTAGACGTGGACGTGGACGTGGACGTGGACATGGACGTGGACGTGGACGTGGACGTGGACTGACGTGGACATGGACGTGGACGTGGACGTGGACGTGGACTGACGTGGACATGGACGTGGACGTGGACGTGGACGTGGACGTGGACGTGGACGTGGACATGGACGTGGACGTGGACGTGGACGTGGACGTGGACGTGGACGTGGACGTGGACGTGGACTGACGTGGACATGGACGTGGACGTGGACGTGGACGTGGACGTGGACGTGGACGTGGACGTGGACGTGGACGTGGACGTGGACCTGGAGGTGGAGGTGGACGTGGACGTGGAGGTGGACGTGGACGTGGACGTGGACGTGGACGTGGACGTGGACGTGGACGTGGACGTGGAGGTGGACGTGGAGGTGGACGTGGACGTGGAGGTGGACGTGGACGTGGACGTGGACGTGGAGGTGGACGTGGAGGTGGACGTGGACGTGGAGGTGGACGTGGAGGTGGACGTGGACGTGGACGTGGACGTGGACGTGGACGTGGACGTGGACGTGGATGTGGACGTGGAGGTGGACGTGGACGTGGACCTGGACGTGGAGGTGGACGTGGACGTGGAGGTGGACGTGGACGTGGAGGTGGAGATGGACGTGGAGGTGGAGGTGGACGTGGAGGTGGAGGTGGACGTGGACGTGGACGTGGACGTGGAGGTGGACGTGGACGTGGACGTGGACGTGGACGTGGAGGTGGACGTGGACGTGGACGTGGACGTGGACGTGGACGTGGACGTGGACGTGGACGTGGACGTGGAGGTGGACGTGGAGGTGGACGTGGACGTGGACGTGGACGTGGACGTGGATGTGGACGTGGACCTGGACGTGGACGTGGACCTGGAGGTGGACGTGGAGGTGGACGTGGACGTGGAGGTGGACGTGGACGTGGAGGTGGACGTGGAGGTGGAGGTGGACGTGGACGTGGACGTGGAGGTGGACGTGGACGTGGACGTGGACGTGGACGTGGACGTGGAGGTGGACGTGGAGGTGGACGTGGACGTGGACGTGGACGTGGACGTGGACGTGGAGGTGGACGTGGAGGTGGACGTGGACGTGGAGGTGGACGTGGACGTGGACGTGGAGGTGGACGTGGAGGTGGACGTGGAGGTGGACGTGGACAAGGACGTGGACGTGGACTTGGACGTGGACGTGGACGTGGACGTGGACATGGACGTGGACGTGGACATAAACGTGGACGTGGACGTGGACATGGACGTGGACATGGACGTGGACGTGGACATGGACGTGGACGTGGACGTGGAAATGGACGTGGACGATGTGGACATGGATGTGGACGAGGACTGACGTGGACATGGACGTGGACGTGGACGTGGACGTGGACGTGGACATGGACGTGGACATGGACGTAGACGTGGACGTGGACATGGACGTGGACGTGGACGTGGACGTGGACATGGACGTGGACTGACGTGGACATGGACGTGGACATGGACGTGGACGTGGACGTGGACGTAGAGGTGGACGTGGACGTGGACGTGGACGTGGACGTGGACGTGGACGACGTGGACATGGACGTGGACGTGGACTGACGTGGACATGGACGTGGACGTGGACGTGGACGTGGACTTGGACGTGGACGTGGACGTGGACGTGGACGTGGACGTGGACGTGGACATGGACGTGGACGTGGACGTGGACATGGACGTGGACGTGGACGTGGACGTGGACGTGGACGTGGACGTGGACATGGACGTGGACATGGACGTGGACATGGACGTGGACGTGGACGTGGACGTGGACGTGGACGTGGACATGGACGTGGACGTGGACGTGGACATGGACGTGGACGTGGACATGTACGTGAACATGGACGTGGACATGGACGTGGACGTGGACGTGGACGTGGACGTGGACGTGGACGTGGACATGGACATGGACGTGGACGTGGACATGGACGTGGACGTGGACGTGGACTTGGACGTGGACATGGACGTGGACGTGGACGTGGACATGGACGTGGACGTGGAGGTGGACGTGGAGGTGGACGTGGACGTGGACGTGGACGTGGACGTGGACGTGGACGTGGACGTGGACGTGGACGTGGACGTGGACGTGGACATGGACGTGGACGTGGACGTGGACATGGACGTGGACGTGGACGTGGACATGGTCGCATGCTTGAGTCCGGTCGCATGCTTGTGTTCGGTCGCATTCTTTTGTCCGGACGCATGCTTGTGTCTGGGCGCATGCTTGTGTCCAGACGCATGCTTGTGTCCGGACACATGCTTGTGTCCGGACGCATGCTTGTGTCCGGATGCATGCTTGTGTCCGGACGCATGCTTGTGTCCGGACGCATGCTTGTGTACGGACGCATGCTTGTGTTCGGACGCATGCTTGTGTCCGGACGCATGCTTGTGTCCGGACGCATACTTGTGTCCGGACGCATGCTTGTGTCCGAACGCATGCTTGTGTCCGGTCGCATGCTTATGTCCGACCGCATGCTTGAGTCAGGTCGCATGCTTGTGTCCGGACGCATGCTTGTGTCCGGACGCATGCTTGTGTCCAGACGCATGCTTGTGTCCGGACGCATTCTTGTGTCCAGTCGCATGCTTGTGTCCGGATGCATGCTTGAGTCCGGACGCATGCTTGTGTCCGGACGCATGCTTGAGTCCGGTCGCATGCTTGTGTCCAGACGCATGCTTGTGTCCGGACGCATGCTTGTTTTTGGACGCATGCTTGTGCCCGGTCGCGTGCTTGTGTCCGGATGCATGCTTGTGTCCGGTCGCATGCTTGTGTCCGAACGCATGCTTGTGTCCGGACGCATGCTTGTGTCCGGACGCATGCTTGTGTCCGGACGCATGCTTTTGTTCGGACGCATGCTTGTGTCCGGACGCATGCTTGTGTCCGGACGCATGCTTGTGTCCGGACGCATGCTTGGGTCCGGACGCATGCTTGTGTCCGGACGCATGCTTGTGTCCGGACGCATGCTTGTGTCCGGACGCATGCTTGTGTCCGGACGCATGCTTGGGTCCGGACGCATGCTTGTGTCCGGACGCATGCTTGGGTCCGGACGCATGCTTGTGTCCGGTCGCATGCTTGTGTCCGGACGCATGCTTGTGTCCGGACGCATGCTTGTGTCCGGATGCATGCTTGTGTCCGGACGCATGCTTCTGTCCGGACGCATGCTTGTGTCCGGACGCATGCTTGGGTCCGGACGCATGCTTGTGTCCGGACGCATGCTTGTGTCCGGACGCATGCTTGGGTCCCGACGCATGCTTGGGTCCGGACGCATGCTTGTGTCCGGACGCATGCTTGTGTCCGAACGCATGCTTGTGTCCGGACGCATGCTTGTGTCCGGACGCATGCTTGAGTCCGGTCGCATGCTTGTGTCTGGACGCATGCTTGTGTCCGGACGCATGCTTGTGTACGGACGCATGCTTGTGTCCGGACGCATGCTTGTGTCCGGACGCATGCTTGAGTCCGGTCGCATGCTTGTGTCCGGACGCATGCTTGAGTCCGGACGCATGCTTGTGTCCGGAAGCATGCTTGAGTCCGGTCGCATGCTTGTGTCCGGACGCATGCTTGTGTCCGGACGCATGCTTGTGTCCGGACGCATGCTTGAGTACGGTCGCATGCTCGTGTCCGGACGCATGCTTGTGTCCGGACGCATGCTTGTGTCCGGACGCATGCTTGTGTCCGGACGCATGCTTGTGTCCGGACGCATGCTTGTGTCCGGATGCATGCTTGTGTCCGAACGCATGCTTGTGTCCGGTCGCATGCTTGTGTCCGACCGCATGCTTGAGTCCGGTCGCATGCTTGTGTCCGGACGCATGCTTGTGTCCGGACGCATGCTTGTGTCCAGACGCATGCTTGTGTCCGGACGCATTCTTGTGTCCGGTCACATGCTTGTGTCCGGATGCATGCTTGAGTCCGGACGCATGCTTGTGTCCGGACGCATGCTTGTGTCCGAACGCATGCTTGTGTCCGGTCGCATGCTTGTGTCCGACCGCATGCTTGAGTCCGGTCGCATGCTTGTGTCCGGACGCATGCTTGTGTCCGGACGCATGCTTGTGTCCAGACGCATGCTTGTGTCCGGACGCATTCTTGTGTCCAGTCGCATGCTTGTGTCCGGATGCATGCTTGAGTCCGGACGCATGCTTGTGTCCGGACGCATGCTTGAGTCCGGTCGCATGCTTGTGTCCAGACGCATGCTTGTGTCCGGACGCATGCTTGTGTTTGGACGCATGCTTGTGCCCGGTCGCATGCTTGTGTCCGGACGCACGCTTGTGTCCGGTCGCATGCTTGTGTCCAGACGCATGCTTGTGTCCGGACGCATGCTTGTGGCCGGACGCATGCTTGTGTCCGGACGCATGCTTTTGTTCGGACGCATGCTTGTGTCCGGACGCATGCTTGTGTTCGTATGCATGCTTGTGTCCGGACGCATGCTTGGGTCCGGACGCATGCTTGTGTCCGGACGCATGCTTGTGTCCGGACGCATTCTTGTGTCCGGACGCATGCTTGGGTCCGGACGCATGCTTGTGTCCGGACGCATGCTTGTGTCCGGACGCATGCTTGTGTCCGGATGCATGCTTGTGTCTGGACGCATGCTTTTGTCCGGACGCATGCTTGTGTCCGGACGCATGCTTCTGTCCGGACGCATGCTTGTGTCCGGACGCATGCTTGGGTCCGGACGCATGCTTGTGTCCGGACGCATGCTTGTGTCCGGACGCATGCTTGGGTCCCGACGCATGCTTGGGTCCGGACGCATGCTTGTGTCCGGACGCATGCTTGTGTCCGAACGCATGCTTGTGTCCGGACGCATGCTTGTGTCCGGACGCATGCTTGAGTCCGGTCGCATGCTTGTGTCCGGACGCATGCTTGTGTCCGGACGCATGCTTGTGTACGGACGCATGCTTGTGTCCGGACGCATGCTTGTGTCCGGACGCATGCTTGAGTCCGGTCGCATGCTTGTGTCCGGACGCATGCTTGAGTCCGGACGCATGCTTGTGTCCGGAAGCATGCTTGAGTCCGGTCGCATGCTTGTGTCCGGACGCATGCTTGTGTCCGGACGCATGCTTGTGTCCGGACGCATGCTTGAGTACGGTCGCATGCTCGTGTCCGGACGCATGCTTGTGTCCGGACGCATGCTTGTGTCCGGACGCATGCTTGTGTCCGGACGCATGCTTGTGTCCGGACGCATGCTTGTGTCCGGACGCATGCTTGTGTCCGAACGCATGCTTGTGTCCGGTCGCATGCTTGTGTCCGACCGCATGCTTGAGTCCGGTCGCATGCTTGTGTCCGGACGCATGCTTGTGTCCGGACGCATGCTTGTGTCCAGACGCATGCTTGTGTCCGGACGCATTCTTGTGTCCGGTCGCATGCTTGTGTCCGGATGCATGCTTGAGTCCGGACGCATGCTTGTGTCCGGACGCATGCTTGTGTCCGAACGCATGCTTGTGTCCGGTCGCATGCTTGTGTCCGACCGCATGCTTGAGTCCGGTCGCATGCTTGTGTCCGGACGCATGCTTGTGTCCGGACGCATGCTTGTGTCCAGACGCATGCTTGTGTCCGGACGCATTCTTGTGTCCGGTCGCATGCTTGTGTCCGGATGCATGCTTGAGTCCGGACGCATGCTTGTGTCCGGACGCATGCTTGAGTACGGTCGCATGCTTGTGTCCAGACGCATGCTTGTGTCCGGACGCATGCTTGTGTTTGGACGCATGCTTGTGCCCGGTCGCATGCTTGTGTCCGGACGCATGCTTGTGTCCGGTCGCATGCTTGTGTCCGGACGCATGCTTGTGTCCGGACGCATGCTTGTGGCCGGACGCATGCTTGTGTCCGGACGCATGCTTTTGTTCGGACGCATGCTTGTGTCCGGACGCATGCTTGTGTCCGGACGCATGCTTGTGTCCGGACGCATGCTTGGGTCCGGACGCATGCTTGTGTCCGGACGCATGCTTGTGTCCGGACGCATTCTTGTGTCCGGACGCATGCTTGGGTCTGGACGCATGCATGTGTCCGGACGCATGCATGTGTCCGGACGCATGCTTGAGTCCGGACGCATGCTTGTGTCCGGACGCATGCTTGAGTCCGGACGCATGCTTGTGTCCGGACGCATGCTTGTGTCCGGACGCATGCTTGTGTCCGGACGCATGCTTGTGTCCGGACACATGCTTGTGTCCGGACGCATGCTTGTGTCCGGATGCATGCTTGTGTCCGGACGCATGCTTGTGTCCGGACGCATGCTTGTGTCCGGACGCATGCTTGTGTCCGGACGCATGCTTGTGTCCGGACGCATGCTTGTGTCCGGACGCATGCTTGGGTCCGGACGCATGCTTGTGTCCGGACGCATGCTTGTGTCCGGACGCATGCTTGTGTCCGGTCGCATGCTTGTGTCCGGACGCATGCTTGTGTCCGGACGCATGCTTGTGTCCGGACGCATGCTTGTGTCCGGACGCATGCTTGTGTCCGGACGCATGCTTGTGTCCGGACGCATGCTTGTGTCCGGACGCATGCTTGTGTCCGGACGCATGCTTGTGTCCGGACGCATGCTTGTGTCCGGACGCATGCTTGAGTCCGGTCGCATGCTTGTGTCCGGACGCATGCTTGAGTCCGGACGCATGCTTGTGTCCGGAAGCATGCTTGAGTCCAGTCGCATGCTTGTGTCCGGACGCATGCTTGTGTCCGGACACATGCTTGAGTACGGTCGCATGCTTGTGTCCGGACGCATGCTTGTGTCCGGACGCATGCTTGTGTCCGGACGCATGCTTGTGTCCGGACGCATGCTTGTGTCCGGACGCATGCTTGTGTCCGGACGCATGCTTGAGTCCGGTCGCATGCTTGTGTCCGGACGCATGCTTGTGTCCGGTCGCATGCTTGTGTCCGGACGCATGCTTGTGCCCGGTCGCATGCTTGTGTCCGGACGCATGCTTGTGTACGGACGCATGCTTGTGTCCGGACGCATGCTTGTGTCCGGACGCATGCTTGTGTCCGGACGCATGCTTGTGTCTGGACGCATGCTTGAGTCCGGTCGCATGCTTGTGTCCGGACGCATGCTTGTGTCCGGACGCATGCTTGTGTCCGGACGCATGCTTGTGTCCGGACGCATGCTTGAGTCCGGTCGCATGCTTGTGTCTGGACGCATGCTTGTGTCCGGACGCATGCTTGTGTCCGGACGCATGCTTGTGTCCGGACGCATGCTTGTGTCTGGACGCATGCTTGAGTCCGGTCGCATGCTTGTGTCCGGACGCATGCTTGTGTCTGGACGCATGCTTGTGTCCGGACGCATGCTTGTGTCCGGACGCATGCTTGTGTCCGGTCGCATGCTTGTGTCCGGACGCATGCTTGTGTCCGGACGCATGCTTGTGCCCGGTCGCATGCTTGTGTCCGGTCGCATGCCTGTGTCCGGACGCATGCTTGTGTTCGGACGCATGCTTGTGTCCGGACGCATGCTTGTGTCCGGACGCATGCTTGTGTCCGGTCGCATGGTTGTGTCCGGACGCATGCTTGTGTCCGGACGCATGCTTGTGTCCGGACGCATGCTTGTGTCCGTACGCATGCTTGTGTTTGGACGCATGCTTGTGCCCGGTCGCATGCTTGTGTCCGGACGCATGCTTGTGTCCGGTCGCATGC